AAAACGTCAAGTCAGACACGATATTTCGGTGAAAAATTATCCGATCATCACGAAAATCAATAGGGATCATCTCCATAATGACATTGACACACAAAATAAAAATCAAAAGAATCTGTAAAAAATTGTAGCCTGTAGAGTGAGCACGAGTTGCACAATATAGCTAATAGAGTAAAACGTCAAGTCAGACACGATATTTCGGTGAAAAATTATCCGATCATCACGAAAATCAATAGGGATCATCTTCATAATGACATTGACACACAAAATAAAAATCAAAAGAATCTGTAAAAAATTGTAGCCTGTAGAGTGAGCACGAGTTGCACAATACAGCTAATAGAGAACAACGTCAAGTCAGACACGATACTTCAGTGAAAAATTATCCGATCATCACGAAAATCAATAGGGATCATCTTCATAATGACATTAACACACAAAATAAAAATCAAAAGAATCTGTAAAAAATTGTAGCCTGTAGAGTGAGCACGAGTTGCACAATATAGCTAATAGAGTAAAACGTCAAGTCAGACACGATATTTCGGTGAAAAATTATCCGATCATCACGAAAATCAATACGGATCATCTTCATAATGACATTGACACACAAAATAAAAATCAAAAGAATCTGTAAAAAATTGTTGCCTGTAGAGTGAGCACGAGTTGCACAATATAGCTAATAGAGAACAACGTCAAGTCAGACACGATATTTCGGTGAAAAATTATCCAATCATCACGAAAATCAATAGGGATCATCTTCATAATGACATTGACACACAAAATAAAAATCAAAAGAATCTGTAAAAAATTGTAGCCTGTAGAGTGAGCACGAGTTGCACAATATAGCTAATAGAGAAAAACGTCAAGTCAGACACGATATTTCGGTGAAAAATTATTGATTATCACGAAAATCAATAGGGATCATCTTCATAATGACATTGACACACAAAATAAAAATCAAAAGAATCCATAAAGAACTGTAGCCTGTAGAGTGAGCACGAGCCAAATGTGAACGGACGGACCGACGGGGTGATTACAATATACGCCCATCTTACGTCTGGGCGTATAAAAAAACAATACAAAAAATAGATTTTAACAACATCATTGATTAAAATATGTACAAGTAAATTTTAGAAGTAACTTATGTGATTGAAATGTACAAGTTATATCAACATTGAACCTGAGTTAAGTTTGTATTAAATTCCAATGATTGAATCAAGTTACATTAGATATACAATCTTCTCTGATAATTACCTAATTAAACATCTTCTTTACAGAAATTGTTATAGTTTTACATTGTCTTACTTTAAACCAGTACATTCATATCAAATCAAAATCATGTTACATGTGCAATAGTACATGTATTGTAGACAGTTATATATAATAAGTTAAAGCTATCATGCTTGAATTAGGCTAAAATCATTTATTGAAAAAATATAAGCTATCTGTCTGTGTTTGGTATGTCATATTTGCTACTTGCAGTCCTCATGCTTGTTGAAGATATGTTGCTGCCACCCATCCACAAGTATGTCAAATGCTAGAAGTAAATATGGTGGTCCAATGGAAGATAAAGATCCTAAGAAAAACGTTTTTCAGTAAAATTAGAACAAGAAAGCTTACCTGATTGAAACATGTAAGTTATATAGAGTAATAAATGAGACATCTGTTCTACAGTAAAATCACAAAATGTTTGACTAGTAGATACTATAGCTGATTCTCTATTTAATATTTCACTACATAATCCTACAGCTTGTAACAGAAACCTGAAGTACAAAAATCATTCATTCAGAAAACCACACCGACATCATGAGCCCATTTTCTTGTTATATGTTGAAATATTTATACAATACATTTATAGCAGAGCAAAAACTGAACAGTATGAAAGTCCAGTCACCATAGATCAATGCCATGGGCTTTGGTCAAGGACTAACTGATAATTTACAGAATTCTCTTGAACCTATGTTGTTATCCTAGTAAAAAATGGTTGCTTCTACCTTTCTTTTGACATTCTAAACACTTAAAAGTATAACAAATAACTACCAGGCACAAGTTTCTTCAGGATTAATATCAGTTAAGGCTACAGGATCAGCATTGGTTTTGGTTAAATCTCGTGTTAAACACAATGGTAAATTTAACTCTAATAATCGTGATAAAACAGTTTCTTCTTTTGATTGTGATATAATAATACGTAATATAGCTAAAACTAGACACAACCATCTTTGTAGTCCCTCAACACAGCTCTGAAATAATAGTTTAGATTAAGATTTAATCATCTTCCCTCTATACAAAACACTCTCTGCTCAAGCAATTGGTAATAACATTTGAATAGTTATTACTGTTAGCTATTTCATACAATATATGTATGTCCTGTAATTAATATTCAACAGATGTATGGTTTCGTCAGCAGTGGTCTTGTCACAAGAAATATTGACAAGTTTTAAGCCTGATGATGAACTGGACTCGAATAAAATCATGTAAGATGCTAAAAATAGTACATCAGATCTGAGCTGAGTATCTGTTCCTTGTCAGCACTTAGTCTGAAATGCTCTGAAACTAGGATTGGAATAGAAAATTTTTTCTTGAACAAAATCCAAGTCAGAGAAGAGACTCTTAGTTTTATAAATGTCACATTGGATATAATCAGTGAAGCACAGTCATTTCTAACATAAATATTTCAATGCTACCAAAAGTGGAGGTTTAAACATTTGTTTAATGATGGACAAAGTAACAAAGACTTACAATATCAGTTGGTGGTGCTAGTAATGTTTTTAATAAGATATCTACAGGTCTAAATACACTTGGTGAAACACATTCAAATAATAAATGGAGAACATCTAAAGCTTTACTACAGTCCAAATTAATCTGAAAATATATAGAATTAATAATCATTATTCTCTGATAAAAAGGTAGAATTAAAATATCACCATGATTAAAATATAAGATATAGCTTGAAAAGTAACAGTCTGTTTCGGGATAGCCATAACTTGGATAACTTTTGTGATGCATACTATTACTTGATGATCAGAGGCAAAATTACCAACTGATACTGAATCTAAAATGGCAGCTTGATGAACAAGAGTGTCATAAAGATTTTTATAAAAAAGAAAACAAACCTGTTGTTTTGATAAAGCTGGTAAAACAAGATCCATAACCTGTCTTGATAATTTTTTCCATTTTTCTTCACTTTCACGATGACATTGTTGTAATACTATCACAAACATTTCTAATGCCTATAGAAAAACATGTAACTCTAACTGTGAACACAAATCATGCTATTGGTAAAAATACAATGAAATTTTTGTGACCTTATTTGCCAATATGAATATAAGCAATTCTAAAAAGTGTACAGTACAGAATTATTATTCAGGATAGTGGTATAAGCCTACTTTTTATTGCCTTTTCAATGTCAAATAATCTTAAACATGCATCTAAATGCAAAATGACTAAGTTAGTCCTCCAAACTGCATTGCTGATTGTTATTCTGTTCCAACTCAGTACTCGGTACTCAATCAGTAGAAAGCAAATATTTAATATTTAAACTAACCTGATGATAATTAATAAGACGTAATAACATAGAAACAACTACTTCTCGCTGTGTATCTTGTTCTTTACCTACTTCTGATTTCATATTACCACGTAATAAAAATAAATCATATACTATAGGTCGGAGTGCTGGTATAGCTGAAATTAAAATGACAAAAACATTTTTTGGACACATTACAACAGGAAAGAATTTCATAATGCAGAACATATCCTATGTAATGTAGATGAGAAACATTTCATAGTGACTGTATAACAGACCACTCACATGATTGTAATCTCAAAACGCCCCATATCCATTTTAATTTCTTTTTGAAGGCCTATTGAGGGTTTTTTAAAATTACACAAAATTAGAATGAATTATAATAATTATGAACATACATGTGTACAGGTCAGGAAAAAAAATCTGGAGATTTGCCTTGAAAAATCTGGAGATTTGGTGAAAAGTCGGAGATTTTTCCAAAGCGCGTAAATTCGTGATTTGAAACTCCAAATTGATAGTTTTTTTCTTTTTTTTAAAAATAAGCTTTAAGCCTTGTAAATTAATTAAATTGATCATAGGCCTATATGATACAGTTAAAATTAACAATCTATAATTATAGATAATTCTAGAAATAGTGCCTGATATTTCAAATTTAGGGGCCCAAAAAAAATTTGATATTATCATTCTTCAGTATTGATTGAATCAAAAATAATGTCAAGGTGAAATGATGTTTGAAAACAAGAAAGCAAGCATGATCCCAGCCCTCTAAATTAAATATTACCGGTAGGCCTACATGTAATACCATATTAAAAATCAGTATGTTCTGAAAGCAATATTTAGTCAACAATATGTACTGGCAATGTTACTTTTTCCAAAGGTGTATTTCATGACATCTTAAATATCTCCAGTCCCATCATTAAATACTTTTCCTGCAGCACTCTCACGAAGCATTGAACTGAATTTTCCGCTTCCATTTTGACGTTTTTCAGAATGGGGAAAGACTTGTAATAAGTAAGCCCGTTATGCAGGCAATCAAATAAATGTTTACAGGCTACAGTAAAATTACAAAACAATTTTATGAAACGAAGTTTAAGTTTACATAAGAAATAGACATCCAGTCGCATATGATAATCTACCGATAATGATTCTGAAACGACGTCTATGTTATATAGGCCTATTATAGACCTCACAGATTGTCACTGACGGTATAAAATACTGAGAAGACTTCAAGATTTCGTTTTTTAGTAAAAGTAGGGCTACCGTAAAATTTATTATAAAAGCGAAAGTAGAATCGGGTATCCCGCCGGTAGAGCGGTAGACAATATGCAAAAGCGGTAGAAACCCGACAACATCGGTAGATTACACATGTATGATTATGAATAATAATAGATGTTATATACCATGTTTTGTTGGTTGTAAACCACTAGCCATTATACCATCACATCTATGTATAACACCATTCATATCTATAATAACTTTACCTGGGAACCTTTCATAACTTAACATGACTAGAAATCTGAAGATATGTGGTATTAACATCTCAGATTCCCTGAAAACAAACAAACCAAAACACATGAAAGTAGGCTTTTTATTGCTGTGTTCAGTTGTTTTACATAATTTTCATAGAAAAATGTGTCAGATGACAAGTCATAAGTCATGAATTGAACTTTATTTTTGTTAGCGAAAAATGAATCATTTTATTTTACAATAATTAAGAGGAATAATTTTCAATTTGACTTTGGAACAGAAAAGATTGTTTGTATAGATTTCATACCTTATTTGTCCTTCTTCAATATATTCAAACTGTTTGAGAACAAAACCAATAAATATTTGATCTGAGTCTAGTAGACAGTAGTTAACACGAAGTTGTACTAGTTGAGCTAGTAAATTTAAGACTTGATGTTGGAGATCTAATGAACTGGTCACGGTATACTGTTTTAATGCTTTAATAACTAGAGGTTCAAATAGTCTAATATAGGAGGCTATAGCAGACTGAAATATAAAACATAATTATATAAGGAAATTATATAACAGGGTATGGGCAACTTGATGCTTTCTACAGATTTTGGAAATAATCAAATAACAGAAGAAAAAGCATTTAAATTCAGATTTGTTTATAATTTCATAAGTGAAACCTTTAAAAACTTGTTGTGAAGTTGTAAAGTATGGAAACCATATCACTGGATTCATGGGAAGTTTTAATTATCATAAATATTTTATTCCCGGTAAAAAAACCTGCAGATATCACGGTTTCCAGTTTGATGTGGCCCTAAATACTTAGATATAACTTTCAGACAAATTGGCAATGCATAGATTCAAAGGACAGCAAAAAAAACATATTCTTTGTATTGGTTTACTTTTATCTTATATAATCTTACCTTATCTACTTTACTACCAGGTTTCAAAATACTAGGAACTTTTCTTTCTACCCTCTTCTTTAACCATAACAGATTACTGAAAGAAAACCCAAAATTTTATTACACAAAGAATCCAAGATCAATTCTTCTGTGGTTCAACATGGTTAATGAATTCATATACCTAAGAACAGTGATAGATGGATGAAGCATGTTAAAATGGTTCTATAGTGTTTATAAGTGTTTTTCAACCTCAATGAGTCCTTCCAAATTTGTTCCTCCGCAAAATAACACAGTCATTTTAAACATATTTTACTTGAAAAATGTATTCAATGATAAACCATGAACGCCCTTTGGCGGAATGTTCATTTACGATTTTCTGTTTGTCAGGGATGAATGACGGCAATCTCAGTCGTAGATCACCTCACTCGTTTATCTTCAACCCACATTTCTTTATGAATACAATATAACTGTGATAAACCTGGCAATGATTCCTTTCATGGCCTTCCAATTCCTCCCTTGTTAAGAAGCACTGCTATAGTCAATGTTTATGAAAAAATATATTTAAGATTTGTATAACTTACCTTTGACTTGTATCTGATTCTGACTGTGTTTTATCTGTATTTGTAGTAGAGGTACCATCTAATGATTTAGTAAGAGTAGTATAAGGTTGGTTTAAACAACACTGATATAAACCAGGCTTAAAATTACTACCAGCTTGTCTAGTTAAGTGTTTAACTCTCTGACTAGTATAATTACTAACTGATCCCGGTTCCCATTGATTACCAATATTGGTACCAAATAATGCTTTTAATAACTGAAATAAAAAAAAATTATTCTACTGAATGTAACTGCTAGACTATTCCCAAAACATTCTACTGCTTTCTTGTTGGACATTAAAAACTTCTACATCATAACAAAAGTTATTTTAAATGTCATAAGAAATTCATGAACCACATATAAATTTAGGGGTTCCAAATCCCAAATTTACATATTTAGGATTGTTATAAAAATAACATAATTTGAAAATGGTTTTCTACTCAAAAATATATATACCTGTTGAACACATAATACTGTAAATGTTGGCTCTATACTAAATGTACATCTAAAATAGGTGAGAAATTCTTCAGCATATTTGCCGATATCGGTTAATGTTGTAACCTCTAATATCTGAGACAGGACACTTAATGTTACTTTTAACAAGTTACAAAATTTATCACAATTACTCAGGTCTAGTGATGTCTGAAATAATAGCAAATAAAATCCATCTATATAGGTTGAAATAAAATAATCACAATCTTATACATTAACTGCTGGCTAGGGTGTCTATTTTTACACAGTTTCATAAGATAATGACCAAAAGTTCTGAATATGGCATAACAATGGTTCATATATTTAGAACAATTTGAACCATTTGAATCAAAATACAAAATTAAATGAAATATCCACACAAAGGTTCACTAAAACTACTCAAGCAAGTTGTGTATCACTAGGAATTCTAAAATATATCTACCTTATAGTTAGAATAAGCTCCTTTTAAAACATCAAATAATTTCATGTATTGTGGCAAATTATAGAATGTTCCTAAACCTTCTTTCTTTCCCTTTTCTTTCTCTCCTTCTTTTGTATCTAGAAATATTGATATAACATGTAAAGTAGAAAAAAGAAAAAATATCACTCTATATCATCCATGCAGCCAAACCTCTTCCTATGTCAGCAAAAAAAAGGAAAAAAAAACCCAAGGTGATGAAGAGTGTAATTAATAAACTAATCTAAAGAAAACTTCTTACAAAAGTAATGGACAAAGTCCCTCATCAAGACTAATGTTTGGATTTGAAGTACCAAAAAGGTATCCAATATTTCAAAGCCACTCTACCAAGACTTTAATAAACATTTTGAGAAAGAACAATTCAAGGAATTATTACCTTTTTGTGGAGTTTTCTGTGGTGTTTTACTATCTGTAATATTATCTTTACCACTAGGTGATGCTGTTTCCTTATCACCACCTTTAACTTTACGTTTTACAGGACTTAATGATGGAGCATTAGGTAGGGAGGGAAGAGATGGTTTGACTTGAGGTGGTCCTGGTATCTGTTCTTCAAATACATGTAGAAAACAATTCAACAACCTGCAGAATATAACAAAATCACATCAGATACTTCAGTTACTATAATAAAGGTCTCTTAACCATTTGTCTGATGATCTATTCAGGCTGCATATATCACTGTTCAAACAGAAAATTCAAAGTCTTGTTGGTCTACAAATAGATATATATATATATTGACAGAATCCATTATAACTTCATACCTGAGAATTAGTCTTCTTGCAAAATTGGTGTAAAAAAGTCAGAAATGGGAAATAAAATAATTTCTCAAATATCAAGTTAATACCTGGCCACATGTACAAGTAACTGATCTATTAATGTACCAAGTTGTATATCTGATATGGCTGCCCATTTCCCAGCATCACCTGTACTAGTTAAACTAGCTAGTTCTTCACTGGATCGTAAACATTTAAATGCTGAACCTATCAACAGAATAATCACAGGATTTAATCACAAATATACATACATGTCAAAACTAAAAAAATTGTAGGCGCTTAAAAGTAAATATAATTGATTTAGGTTCCTTTCCTTTGTATTTTTGTCAGGAGAAGCTCATATTGCACTTCAAAAGAATCCGTGAAATGCATCTATTTTGAAGTCATTCAGAGGCATATAAATATAATAATGGAATTCAAGCGGACTGACCTGCCATCAAATTACCCGTAAGTTGTAGGACATCTTGATGTGATGATATATCTAATCCTACAGGTGATGACATCAATATACTAAGAATCATGGGTAATGGACCACTACCTGTAGCAGACGACAACTCTTCTAAACTAAATGTACTGTAAAACATAACAGAATATTGCCATTATTACCATCTTTTCATACCTGAAATTTCTAGTTAACTTGAATTTTACAAAACAGTCTGTTTCCTGAAAATAGCAGTTTTTATATTTAAGTTCTTGATGGAAAAATACGAACCTGGAAGAACTAAGTGAGCGACTAGGTGGACGTTTCATACTACCACTACGTGTCTGATCTTTGGTTGATATATGAGTTGCTGAACCACAACCCCAACATGATGAATAACAAGTTACAGTATATTCTTCACATAATAAACATAGAGCGTGACAACAACCATTCTGTAATTATAAATAATATCAACAGCATTAATTGTATTTTAAATAAATAAGCCACTTTAGTATCTTTAACAAAGAGAGGGAAAATTTGAAAATGTTATAAAATAATATAGACAAAGATGTCAAATCTACTTTGATGTATAATTCTACCATTGGTAACAAATATTTAACTTATCATTTCGTTAATATCTAGGCTAAGTAATACTTTTGTTATACTCACTAATAAGTGTCTTGATTGTGATATATGTATCTGATGTAATAACTGTTGTATGATTCGAGATAAACAACTCTCCACTGTACTGTTAACTTTTATATTAGGTGAATAATGATAAGGCTTAACTAGGCCTTGTACCAAGGGAGGTAAATCTTCTATTAATTGATGTGATAGAGAGGTGAAGACTCTATTAGTTAAATCTTGAGCACAAGCTGTTACTGGGTCATGTTGAGGATGATCAACAGGATAAAACAGATTCGGTATCAATCTGAAACAATGAAAGAAATGGAGTATTACTTTCTTCTCTAGCTCAACAATTACTGTGGTCCATAAGATTGCAGTAACAGTAATTTTGAAGCACTAATAAACTGACAGATGTTCCTGATCATGATTAGCTTGTAGAATAACATAAAGGACTTTGAAACATTCACAAATCACAGGAAAAATTGTCAGACGATTCTGAGGATAATGAGGAAAGATGAGGTCACTCGGTTTTCACATGCTGACATAGATTAGAACTCACAACCATCATTTGTGATCCAAGCACATGAAGTCATGTAAAGATTCCAAGCTCTAACCAACTGTGCTATAGCACAACCTTTAATAACAGAGCAGTATTAAAAGTATGGACAAATTGGAATTATAACCTTACCTAACAAGTGAATTAGCTGCAGCATGTCTAACTCTAATATCTTCATCAGCTAATAAACATAGAACTACATTCTGTATATAGTATTCCTGGATTTCTAATTTCTGAAATGAGTAAAGCATCAAAACATTGCAACATTCAAAACCAACATTTTCCTGATATATGTTGTACAAACACAGGAAGAAAATTGATGTACATCAATTCAATTCACAAGACAACAAAATTAGTGTAAGGTTAAAATCAAATAGCCATCCTCGATCATTCAAAATGGAATCAGAAAGAGTAAGCCTTTCTATCAAGTTCATCTGATCATCAAGATTTCTCATCAAGAATGTTTTAGATAAAGGCACTCCTAAAATGCTCCTAGGACTGAAAAACTAATATAAAAGAAAGGCTAAAGGATAACTCTGACTTACCCCTAAATAATGATGTTTGCCTATTTCTATTTCTTCACAGATATTTTCTAAATAACTAACAACTTTAAAATTAATACTACTTAAAACTTCTAACAATTCAACCTACAATGATAACCAATGATAATGCTTTCATAATAAAAACTAATAAAAATTGATTTATGTTCTGATGGAATAATGTAATGTTGATCAAGAGCTGTTGATCATTTCAGTAAATTAAATAACACTAATTATTTGGTTTGAATTTGAATGAAAGATACATGCGTGAACAGAATTATATGAGTTCTGAACAAATAGAACACGTAAGCACATCAAATGAACAATTTCTGACCGAAAAGGTAATTTCAAATTTTGTTATTTAAAATGAGCTCACCTTAACTAACCAATATGGATTATTTCTAACTTCCAGAATATCTAATAAAACCTGTAGACCTAGGCCACCATGACAGCTATCTAGCAAACTTGCTAGACAAGACTGTAATGCTATTAACCCTTGTCTAGTAGCTACTGATGATTCATCTTCTATTACATGTATTATAGTATTGACTAGGTTATCAATGCAGATTTCACCTACAACACATGTATTAAATAACTGAATAATATAACTCTGGTTTAATATGACTATACAATGCCATTACAAGGATTATAAACAGCAATAAATGGTTGAAACATCACATGTTCTCCCGGCATGTCTCTTTTCCTTTGGGGTATTCCGTAAAACTTTCTCTGTTGAAAATCATATCAGTTTATGCAATTCAAAGACACTCCAATTTGAGAGAAGATTGCAGAACGAATATGAATGGATTTGATAACTTACCAATGTCTGCAGGTGAATTCATTTTTAACCACTTGTTAAAATCACCCCTTCCTTCTATTAATACAGCTTTAATAAAACTACTGATCACTATCCCTGTTTGACCTTTTAATACAGGGTCAGGATGTGAGGCATAAAGAGTTACTTCCCTTATATCTTGATCACCTGAAATATCATAGATATATAAATTAAAAAACTGTTGATGTCTTATACTGTATGGGTATGAATAAAGAAATGTCAACAACACAAACTGCTGCTGCATTTGTTACTTCTGGAAGTGCAATACTAATACATAAGCTCTATTTGCTTGTTATTATGAGTGTATTGTATTTGTCAGGCTGGTTGCAATGTTGTTACCTTATAATTTGAAAACTTTGGTTTCTCAAGACATGCCCTGAATTCACTTGGAAATTTAAGATTTCCAATCTAACCGAATACAGCAAAAGAAAGAAAACCACAACACTCACCTGAATCAGTTGGTAGTAGTTTTAACAGAAATATCTTAGGACACATGAAAATAGCTGAACTAATACAAGCTAATGCAAGAGATTTTGAGCTGACTCTAACAAACTTATCTAAAATCAACTCCAGTTTATTTCCACTCAGTAAAAACCTTCTACATAATAACCGTACACAATACACTAATGGCATCTCATTGTCTGTTATATTTCCAAAATCTGCTAACTGCTGGAAAATCTTGTTAGAATCTGAAATCGGCATAGGACTTGGTGGTTCCGATGTTTCTACATATTCTGGATTTCCATTTAAATCTTGTGCTAATTCTAGAGTTCGTACTGAAGCGGAATGTCTTGGACTAAGACTTTTAACACTAAGTAAAGTATCTTGACTACCACTACGTGTCAAAGTTGTTTTTTCAGACTTGTCATCATTGAGATCACCAATGTCTAAATTTGAATAATCGTCATCAGTTGTAAAATGAACAGATGGATCAAGCTTTTTGGCATTTTCTTCACTGTCCTTTATAACCTCCTGACTTGAAGAGTCAAGTTGAAGTTCTTCTACTTGTTCAATATCGTCATCTAATGTGGCAGTATTAGATTTGATTGGTTGATCTGTTGCCATGGAAACATCTGCATCTTCTTCCAAACCTTGATCGTCTGCTTCTGATGTTAATTCTGCTGAACCTAAAAGATATTCAACATGTCTTTTAGCTTGTATTTCAAAATTATTACAAAATTAGGAGTCATTATGGTCTGTGACATGCACAGACTCCAGACAACTTTTCCTAATAACATCACACAGACCAGGGTTATTTTAAAAGTTTAGAATATCATTAGATTTTGAAAGAAGAACATCTGTAGCAACAGAGTGCATATACCTGATATACATACATTGTTTAAATACTTACTTTCTACTCTCATCCTTTCTCTTTCATCTATAAAATCTTGTTGAAATATGTGTGTTCTGGTTATACTACCTCTAACTAATAAAATAGATCTCAAACTATCTGGTGGGTGACGTAATAGTTGTTGTAAAGCCTCTAATGATGCTGTAACTACATTATGATCATTATGGCTTGTATAAAATAATAACAGCTGAAATATCTGAAATAGTAATGATAAGAAAGTATTAATTCTCTGAATTATTTCAAATAAACAAGATTTACCATGTATATGCTATATTAAGATGTTAAAACATTTTTTGGGAAAAAGGGCCAAAATAATACTAAAGGATAGTGAAGTTGGTGAAATGAGAAACTTTCAGTAGAGCTTCATATAAATAAATCATATAAAAAACCAAAGCATTTTCAATATTGAAGTATATGGAAGCTGATAATATACTAATATAGAGAGATGGGTGTAAAAAAAAGTTTTCTTTAAATTGACAATGCCAAGGCTACAGCTAGTAGGATTCATATCTCACCTTCTCAACTTGCATTGCACTCACTCCTTCTTCTTTATCTTTCTGTATTAGACCAAAACTACCTTTCATACCTTGATCTTTCTCATCAGAATCATTCATAATAGGTATAGCATGTCGTAAACATAGGATAACACCTAATAGTGTATAAATATCATGTTCTGTATCCACTGGTAATACCATATCTAGAAAACAATTAAAAAATATCTTTAGATTTAAGTCACTCCTCACCATCTGCCATTTGCCATAATTCTGACTTTGGTAAATCCAACATACTATATTTCTTGACTTTAGATCAGTCAATTAGAGCACTTAAAATCTGAAAGTGAAGATTAGCCAGATACCTCGTTTTAGACGCAAATCATGCAACTCTGATTTTGCGCTAGTCTGCACAGCCAATTCATAATAAGAAAACTCAAATAAAAAAAACTAAGTAAAACTTACCTAATAGTACTGATATAAGATAATTGAAGAATGATAGAGGGTTTCTAGAATATTGACAGATTAAAACTAAGGAAGTGGCCGTAGTTCTTCTACAAACAGCTACTGTTGATTTTAAATTGGGTAGGAATGTCTTCAATAAACTCTATAATAACAATAGCAAAAGAATCTCATTAGAATTAATGAAATGTTATGTTAATGTATTTTAACAGATACGTTGACATTCTGGGACCCTCACTAGAATGTTAATCTGTGAAACAGATTACTAGACAAAGCTTCAGTAATTTTTACATTTCAAAGTAAGGAGACTCATAAAAAGAAACAATTGCATGATTCCATCTCGATGAATAACTTCATTCATTGGCAAATTTGAAATAATTCACAGAAAAGATATTGAACATGTTTAAGAAAAATTTCTCATGGGAAGTCTTATTCCCAGTACTAAAATCATTATAACTTACAAGCACCAATACAAGTTATAATGAAGGACCTCTAAAGGAAAATAAACATTAACATTTAAAAGTAGACTAATAAGTGAAAAACTCTCAGACTCAAGATAATACAATAACAATATTGTACCTTCACTTCACCATCATTAGCAAATCCCATCAATGCTGGACAAATTTTACTCATAGATGTTCCTAGGGTATCTTGTATGGCTTCTTCATCTCTCTGACTAATTCTTGTCAGACATGGTAACAGGTTTACAATATATGGTCTGAATGGTAACAAGGAGTTGAATAAAAGTAAACTAAAGTGTAATTAAGTTGCAGCTAAATTGCTAGATATTGAAATGTGAAAAAAAATCATTGGATTAATGAAGACAACAATGCCAAGCAATAAGGGAGATATAGCAACTTCCTTCTTTTTGAAAATCTTGTTTGAATTATTGAGTCAAAACATACTGCAATGGACAATCCCTTACCATCTAATTATTTCTATTAAACTTAGTATTATTTCCTAAATAAACGAAATAGAAAAATATTAAAACAGAATCTTAAAAATAACATGTTGTTACTCAGAGTTATTATTATCCTAAATTTTATTATGACATTATATTCCAAATTTTCGAGACAACTGGAGCATGTAAAATATCCTTACCTGCATTTTAATGGTCTGATTAAATGACACATATCAGCAAATCTCCATAGAGCACCTCTTAAAGTACGTGATGAGCCATTCTTCTTTATTTCTTTATATAACTCAACTTGTAATCTTCCTAAATTAGTTTCTAATAAGGTCTGAAACAAAGTTGTTGGCCATAAATAAGCATCTTCCTTCAATTATTGGGTGTGTAATGTTTACTCAATTTGGAGATATCTCACTAAAAGCTTCATTTGCACAAAGTTACTGTCAATAAATCTAAAAATCTAGTTTATATAAGTATGTTTTTCGCTCACCTTAATTGTTCTATTGAGACATTCATCAGCTACCATTCTAATATCTGATTCAGGATCATCACATAATGTTAAAAATGCTTCTACAGCTATTCCTAGAAACTTGGGGAAATCAGGGACAGACCTGAGAAAAAAGAATAGAAATTCAAATTTATAAAAACAACAGTGGATCAAGATATTGAATTCACAAACCACTAAGACAAACAGACAGAAATGTAAACAGAAGGTCTCAAGATCCTGCTTTGCTGGAGACGCCTACCAGAGTATTTGTTATGCTAGAACTCAATAGAAAAAAAAAAGGCATTGGCAAGAATTAAACAGATTTTCAATAACAGCTTACCTCATATTAACAGCACAAATACAATCAGCTACAACATTACAGTTGACCATCTTATCTTTCTTACTGGGAGGTTGGTCTTTCTTCCTGTAACAGATTTAGTGTATATCAATTGCATGTTATGGACATGATGGAATTAAGAAATCTTATTTTAATAACATATAATAGACAAAATGCTTACAAGACCTGTAGTATTCATGATTATCAACATGCTTTACTCCATCAGGTTAATTTCATTAACTAAAACTCCTATTATTCAATAAGCTGGGAGAGACATGGGCTAATTTGTTAAACGTAAGTAATTCAGGAAAACATACTTTGCTGAGGATGTTATCTCTTCCAATCCACCAGGAGCTGACTGGAACACCTTTAAAGCCTCAAAGGCTTTAATTAACTTTTCTATTGTTGCCATTCTATTATTTAGAATGTCAACTACTTGAGGAATTGACCAGAGTCGACAGAGACTGTTATCTACGAATAAACTTGCATGAATATGTCAATAAATTTGATATTTTCCATTTTCATTTTACTAAATTTTGCAGCCATAAATGCAGTAGGCAAAAAGCTACATTTAACAAGATAGCCAACAGTTCGAAGAAAACACTTTACTTTTTGAGAGTGTTTACACTTGAAAAATCTTAATTTGTTTTTTCATAAGTTTATGAAAAAAATATCCATCTCAATTCAATTCTAGATATGAGTTTTTGTAAATTATATTCACTTTATGCGAAAACAGAAATCATGGCTTATGACGTATTGCACAATATTTGTGACGTTTTGCACCGGAAGCAGGTGCTAGTTTGTTTACATTTTGCAGACGGAAAAGGAAAAATGTCTGGTGAAGTGGGAGATTTGATTATAAAATGGAGTGGACAAGAGTATGTTATATCGGGTTTGGTTGAAACAGACACAGTAGCAGATCTCAAAGATGCCGTCTTTAAGAAAACAAACGTTTTACCAGAAAGACAAAAATTATTAGGACTTAAAATCAAAGGTGAATTAGGGCCTAAACTTTTTTGTTTTGAGTATGTCCAGTTTGAGTTTTACTTTTAGTTTTGCAGGTTTGAACTTATGTCATTAATACTAATTTAGAGTAGGATTTTGGTGCAGTTTGAAATTTGATGAATCGAAATGATAATGCAGATTTGTATATTCTATATTTATAGGTAAACTTCCAGACAAAGAGATCCAGTTATCCACATTACAGATCAAACCTAAAACTAAGATAATGATGATGGGGACAAGGGAAGAAGAGCTGGTATGTAAAATCTTTCTGTCAAGTATCAAGGTTTTAGTTGATTTTGAATGGAATAATGCATAAGATGCAATGTTAAATTAGCTACATTAAACCAATTTTTACTGTATATTCTAGGCCAAAGTAACAGAACCACCTGCTGTCATGCCAGATGTTATAAATGATTTTGATATTGAAGAAGATGAGATAGCCATTGAAAATAGGTCTGTATTCAATAATCATAACCAGTTGTGTGAGATCTCTAATAGCATTTTGTTGTTTTGAAATGATTGTAAGTATATTTAAATCCAATTATATAATTACTTTTAGAGAAGAGTTCTTGGCCAAGATAGAAAAAAGAATTAAAGACTATGAAATCAAAATACTTAATGAACCAAGAGAAGGGAAGAGATTATTAGTCTTAGATATTGATTATACTCTTTTTGGTAAGTATTCACATTTCATTTAGTTAGATTTTGTGATATACTGATGCAGATTTAGAGAATGGCTTGGATCAGAGTTGTTGCAAAACACATTATTTAAGTTAGTTCTGTCAGATGTCCTGATCCTTGATTCTCTGAGGTAAGCTCAGGTTATATAGTTTATGTATTGATTTTTTCAGATCACAGATCAGTTGCAGAAACTCCTGCTGAATTAATGAGACCATATTTACATGATTTTTTAAAAGCAGCATATTTATATTATGATATAGTTATCTGGTGTAAGTGTTTTTGATTTTTTACAAATTGAACTTCCCTTGCAGTCATAAAATTTGAACAAAATTGTGAAAAATATCTGTTTCAAGTTAAATTGCCTTCAAAACATTTTTTTTTAAATCCTCTTTCAAACCTACTCTGAGAAAACGACCTAACAATATGATATCAAACCATTGTCTGTTACTATGTGTTATAATTAGATCTACAAAGTTTGCAATTTTTGGAGTAAAATTGCACATTTAGAACTGAAATGAATTTTTACATTTGTTTATAATTTTTATTTGTTTTGTAGCTGCCACTGGTATGAAATGGATAGAAACTAAAATGAATGGTTTAGGTGTTAGTTCTCATAAAGATTACAAGATCTGCTTTTATCTAGATAGTGATGCTATGATATCTGTACATACTCCAAAATATGGCCTTATAGATGTAAGCATATAACTTAAATTTATCCCTTTTAATGAAATTAAAGGTGCCCTATCAGTCTGTTAATCAAGATATTCAATAAGTGAAGTAATATAGAGTTGCCAGTCTTACATGCTCCTGATTCAGGGTGGAATGAGGGAAATTTTGCTAGAACTGTGGCACAAACCTCTTCAAAAAGACATCCAATACAAAATGCTAATGCAAATGTACATAATAAATAGTGAGGGATGCTTTTTCATTCTACTAATAACTTGTATTATGATTCTTCAAATTTGTTTGATGCAGAAGAGTAGGATGTAAAAATGATGTTTATTTCATGTCATATCTAATCTGTTATTAATTTTGTAGGTCAAACCACTGGGTGTGATATGGGGTAAATATAAACAATGGAGTGCTGCTAACACTATCATGTTTGATGATATCAGAAGAAATTTCATAATGAATCCACAGACTGGATTAAGAGTAGGTTTTTCTTCAATCCCTTATATGTTATAAGAGTAATGTAGCTAGGTTCCTAAGCATTGCCATTATACCTGAATGTTGCAGATTACCTTAGTTAACAAAGTAAGCCCAACATCATTCTTTCAGATCCGACCATTCCGTAAAGCCCATTTTAATCGTGATAAAGATAGTGAATTATTAAAGTTAATGTGGTATTTAGAAGATATTACTTGTGAGAAAGATTTTTCTGTCTTAAATCATAAAGATTGGGAAAAGTAAGTAAATAAATCTATTATTTTTATCAGGGTAATTATTTTAGTATCTTTCAGTAACGTGAGCATTTTCTGTATCTTTCCAACTGTCAGGAGATCTTGTTGTTTACACATAATGCACATAATACACATTCTTCAGTGAAATTTTGTTTCACATATTTATTTTATAGGTATAAACCAAAAAAGAAGAAAGCACCAGAAAGTGAGGAGACATGATGTAATGGTAATTGACAATGTACAAGACTGCTTAAACAACCTCAAAATAAGTTGAACTACTGTACCTGTTTTTGTATTTCCTTGAATATGCACAAATCTTTTAGATGGAATATACTTTGAAATTTTGATCAAAATGTTGTACATGTATAAGTATTGACTTAAGTATGTTTTAGTTTAGTGTATGTTCTGTATTAAGGTACCACATTACAAGATTATTTTCTGAAATTAGCAAGTTTTGAACAACTGTGGTTGATTTTACAGCCATGTTTTTCTGCACTGTGTAAAATATTTAAGTTCTATGTGCACATTTTTTAAAACCTTGACAGGAAATTGTTTATGTTGTTGGTTTCTTGTTAGGAAATTTGCTATACGACAGAAAAATCTTAAAATTGTTTAGTTCAATGATGCTGAAATTCAAACCTCTTGAAGACTCTGCGTTTATCCACTGACATTATTTCTATTAATTTAGCAGATGAGAAAGTTGGGATATAACATATAAATATGCTGTATTCAATCTGCCATGGTAAATTGTTGATACTTTTATAAAGATTTCTTTTCTTTTAAAAGCATCCAAGTTTCAAAAGATAATTTGCTTTGCAAAGACACAAAATGTTGGTCCAACAGTATTTAAGGTACTTTGTAATATAAATCTTAATTGCTAAATGTGTTTATTTAGCAATCTCTGCAACAGGGGGGCAATGACAGCCTTCCCATATCATCACAATATTTATATTGAGGTCAATTCATTAATTCTTATTTTTATTGATGCTCCAGAAAGTTTTAATGCTTCTCCCCTTTCCCTACTTTTATGATCCACACCCCATCTGGATATATTGCTTGCCCCCTCCCAAACAATCAAGTCCTACAACGGTAATCTCTCAAGATTTAATCACTGTGTGAGAATTGGATACTAGAAGAGTTTAAGTCCAACATTTAGCTACTGATAACACATTAAATTTCAAAACCAACCCTGTTCTTTCACGGCACAGCTTAGAATAGAATGGCATATCAGCTTAGCATTCAGCTTAGGGAACTATATCCCTCTCAATAGGTCCTATAAACAACATGAGAAATGAAAACTAAATGAAGTTTAATTTGGAAGATAAACCTACAATGAGATTATATTGCACAACATAAAACATAAATAGACTTTGACAATGAAAGCACTAAGGAATTTATATAATAATGCATGATTAACAATTGGGAATAAATAATTGTGATGTATTAATGGGTGATTGAATATCATTGGCAGTATCTCTTGACTTGAATTTATACATAACGTCAAGATTCTATGAATGAAATCATCCACATACCTTCAGAAGTGGCAATATTCAAAGTAGCCAAGACATTTTTAACTTTCTACCTTGTAGATAATGCCTACTATATATGAGAATGTTAACAATCTGGAAACTTTACATGTCAATTTCTTCAATTGCAACTGTCAACTATTCAATATGGAATGCGAAAATAGAGCTTAAGCTGGGAAAAGTTTATATCCATAAAACTGCAAACTAGCATTTTTGATAAATTTCCATATAATAAATGTATGATTCTATTTCATGCCATTCTTATTTTAATGCGATCAAGACTGGCTGATTCAGCAAAATACTGAACACAAAGTTTTTACATACAATACTGATCTATAATATCGAAAAAGCCCTTAAACTGTATAACTTAAATATCTAATTTAAATCAAGGTACATAAACAAAAAATTTGATTTTTTCTGCTAATCTCAAACTGTCTGGATAGACACCTACTAATCACAGTATTTTGAATATCATAACAATTATTGATGTCTAAAATTTACATGAAAATGTCCCTTTTGAAAAACAAATTAATAGATGATAACATGTGTCACTGTATCTATTTTTACTAATGCCATTTGATCATTTTAAGACTATCATTTCCATTTAAATAACATGCAAAGAATTGTTCATTGACAATGTTGATAATAAATAGGTGCTCTTTTATAACAAGTGAAAGTTTAAAAGTTAACAATCTTAATAAATTAAAGGTGACCACCCTGATAAATAATTAGCTTTCAGAAATAAACATGGACAAATTTCAGATAGGAGGTGAAATTTCAAATCTGAAATAACAAATCCTGTTTGTTACTTCACTCAATATAGATCTGACATGATACATGTTCAAGTTTGGAACAAATCAAAACATGGTCTCAACTCAATGTTACAGACTGAACACAAATAAACACATGGCAAATTTTAAAGGAATCGATTAGAAGAAGGGTCACACATAATACAACATATAAATGTTGTAAATATTGATCAAAATACAGAAAGCAAGACAAAATACAGAATTTGTATTTCAATCAGACTGAATACTGCCCTGATTATCTCCAGTCATTTCAAAACATCTAAATTCAATTTGTAAACAAACTCATCAAATCATATGTTCTTTTGCCATGTTTGGACCTCTTAAAGTGTTAACCCAGTTACTTGTTGCAATTAAAATAAGTGTAACCCATTCTACACAATTCTTTACTTTTCATCAAATAGGCATCTCAATTCTATCACCACGATCAAAATGAGCTCTACCTCTTCTACAGAAACATAAACAACCACTAGAACAGCCTGGCCATCTATTAAAATCTTGACGTTGTTTCTGTTCACAAAGACCAGATGAAGCTTGTGAAGATTTCTCAAAATGTTCTACTTCTTTTAAATACCTACAAAATAAATTGAAATGATAATAGAAATAACAAAATGATATTAGCTGTATGTATTCTGTATGGATTTAAAGGATACTGAGTTCACAACTAGCAATTAGACAAAAGTTTTTTTCGAAGTGAGATTACCTGAAGCTCAACATCTGTTTTTTACCTAAACTAAAGAACTAATTTTTGTGAGACAGTAATTCAGTGACTGACCTTTTTATAGTTGTGTACTATGCAGACTAATTAAGATTAGACCAAACTTTCTTTCTATTTTGTCTATTAGCTTTTATTTTTGGTGTAGCCACTTAGTTGGGGTCTAATGACAGCCCTCTTGAGCGTTCGTCAATTTAACCTTTTGACCTAACCTGATAAACATCTTGTCACAAAATGCCAGCGGTAAAGAGAATAGAAACCAGGCCATTAGCCTGAAATGGCTATATTAAAAATAAAGCTAATAAAAAATGGAACGAAAATTTTGACTAATTAGTGCTAGAGAAATATATATCGATACATTGTGATATGACATGTCATAATATGTGTATTGTAATACCTGGTTGTGTATTGATAATACAAGGCATACTAATCAAACAACTTTACACATATAACTAAACATTATCCAAATGCATGAAATGTTCGATAAGTGAACATAAACGTATCAACAGTTAATCTTTTGACAATAAATTATTATATTACAAGTTCATGTTTTATAGTCTTATCCTCTTAAAATACACAGTAGTAAATAATCATTGAAACTTGAAAGATAAAGTGCTCTATTTTATCAATTAGCCCAAATTGTGATATCGATATCTTGGCATGATGGGCAATAGCAGTAGTACTATGCAAAACACTTACCAAACAGGAGGCCAGCGATGTTTTTCTATATAATCAATATTTTCTTTCTCTAAAGTTTTATATAATTTATGGTATTTTTGGTGTAAGTCTTTATAATGACAGCAAAGATACATTAAACACCATTTAGCTAACTGATTTGCTCTGTGTAACTATAAAATATTGAATGACATGAAGAACAAAGTCTTATATGAAATATTTTATAATAGTGAACAGAATTTCATTTGTAGACATTTATCAGAAAAAAAGACATATGTTTACAAAATAATAAATACATGTTTGCCAAATGCTGTTACTTCTACAGTAAAAGTTCTAAGGGCAACTAAGATCTAAATTAAGAAAATCTAAATTGTCAAATTGCACAACATTGGCATTTGACTATCTGAAATCTCAACTATTAGTGCTTCAAGATGATCTAGCATGATTCATAAAGTGTCTGCAAAGTTCAACATTTTTAAACATATTGTGTAAAAATAACTAGAAATTGAAGTTACCTGACAAGGTTCTAAAAGTGACATAACTTCTTCAATAATATCTTCACCATTCTTTTCACTTTTAGATAATTCATTGATAATAAAATTCTCTGTGATACGAATTAATCTAGGTAAACACATCTGATTAGTTAGTCCTATTAAATCTATAAAGTCTACACCTGTCATAGATGGTGGTTCATCAGTATACAGAAATTCCTGTAGGGCTTGAAATGTATATTTTGATACGCCTGGAAATGGCACCTGAAAGTAATTTATTGTAAACAAATCTTTCCGATCAAAGTGGAAATATGTTTACACATCATTTGGTATTAACAATGTTTTTTTCAGAACACATGACTGAATATGAGTCTATACCAAATAACTTAATTTGATGCTGTAGGGCATAACAATATAAACCTTTGATGTCTTTATTTCTGCATACTAAAACTAAGATATCTGATTCTTATATTATCAACATACAACCTACCACTTCTGCAACTGATTCTCTAAAATCTCCACTAAACATAGCCTGCATCATTTCACATCTAGCCATTAATAATGGTTTATGAGCTGATACTATACCATCATCAACTTTAAATCTTATATCTATAAATAAAATATTAAAAAACAAAACATTCCAATTAGGTCAGAATATTCTGACAACAACAGTTATTTCTAAGGACAATTCCTTTTAACCAATCAATATGGGATATCCAAACCAAAGAGACTATCATATTGTTGATTTCACTATCACATGCTTCGTCAAGTTATCAAGAAATGGGTCCTACACATGACAAGCTTATTGCATCAAAAGACATGTCTTGAATCTAATCTAACTATGGGAAAATGAAACTAAAAAGAATTTACCTGTCAAGAGTTCTAATCCTAGAGCTAGCTCATGAATTTTAGACTGTCTCTTTTCATGGAATTCTTTTTCAAGAGCTTTATTCAAATAACTTTCATTTTTCTGAAGATTTGATATGATAATAATCAAGTTCGTCATTTCAAAAATTTCAGCAGCGCGTTTAATCTCATTTATACAAGCAACTTCTTTAACCATTCCAGTATAAAGATATTCCAATATGACTTGAAAGGCTCTAGGAGTTATCTCCCTGTTAAGTGTCACTACAGTCTGTAAATATGATTCACTTGGTTTAAAAGGATCATCGCAATATTTTAGCTCAACTGTGTCAATAGCCTTTTTATTATATGATGTTATAACTGGAAAATTACCATTAGCATTGTCAATGTTCAAAAGATTCTCAAATCCTGACATTCTTTGACTAGAGAGTTCTCCATCAGTGCTAACCGATTCCGTATCACTTTCTATAAGTTTATCCATATCAGTACTACTGTTTCCGGTACCTAATAATGATAATCTTAGAGAATGTCTGTTTTTCTTTCCCGTAGGATATTGTCTAAGAATATCTAAAGAAAAAAGTTCCTCAAAAATGGGACAAGTTAACATTAAGCAAATTTTATGAGCTTGAATACAAGTGCCTTGAACAGTAAATATAACATCGCCTTCTATTTGATGATGAAGGAGTTGAAGTAAATCTGAATTTAATGTTGATGGTGGAATGATAACATCTGCAATGGTTGGTTTAGGTATTCTCATAGGGGACTGAATTAATGGTCGCTGAACATGACGTAATTGAGCATGCCAGAATTTAAGTTTGCGTCTCTCTATGAGGGCAGCTCTACAAGCGTTAATGAACACATCTTCTATACCATGATGAGATAATACACTAGATTCATAATAAGGAGCACCAATGTCTTTAGCTACATCTCGTCCTATTTCTGGTGTTATTAGGTCTTTTTCTTCAATAGGTCTGAAAATATATACATAATCATAACTTTTACTTTCAACAAACTGTGTCATATTTACGTCTAATCTCTAATCTAATTTCTATTTTCACAATCAAAGATGTGATTTCGATCCACAAATTTACATCTCCAGAAAAATTCTTCTGAGGACAAATAGCTGAAAAATGGTGCCCACAAACATAAATGGTTTCATTATATTCTGTAATTGAAATACAACATTAGGAACTCAATTCAATTTGTTTCTAGTTATCATAATAGCTGCTAATTTAATCAAGTAAAACCCACAATATTTTACTTACACATAAAGTAATCCTTTTTGAGTTTGAAGATATTTTTCATCATTATAAAGATATCTAAGATCAGCTCTAGTACCAACTAATATTATAGGTGTTGTTGGCATGACACGGCGTATTTCAGGATACCATACTCTACGTACATTCTTTAATGATAATGGTTTTACTGTACTAAAACATAGCACTATAACATCAGCACTGCAAAACAAAAACAAACAGATAAATATATTAATTGACTTAGAATTTAATTTCTTAAATGCCATTAACCAAAGCAAACATGGTATTTTGTCATTGTTTTCATCACCTTAACCTTTATTTGTGAATACTACCATGGAGGTAATCACATGATTACTCGGCAATTGCAGTTGGGTTTGTACATTTGTCAACTTTGTATATAGGTTTCTTCAGTATGTATATTTATACAAACTTACCCTTTATAAGAGAATTCCCTCTGTTTATCATGGTAACCAAATGTATCCCATAATCTTAATGATACTCTAACACCATCTACATCACACCATGATCTATCTAATACCTATAATACAAGTTGTCTAATAAGGATTATGGCAAGATAAAGATCTAACTAGCAATGGGTAGTTTGCAAAATGCCTAATATAGAATGACCATTGGGTGAAAGGTACACTTTTTCCATATATTGTCTTACTGAAAATTTTATTTCTTTGTTTTAGATTCCAATGATAATTAGAATACATTGATGAAAGCTAATAACCTGTCAACCAGTTGTTAATTTGCAGAAAGTAAAATTTTATAACGTGATACTATTTTTATGTAAGATTATTCCATTAAAGTTAGAATACATGAAATTTTTGACCTTATCTATTTTGCAAGGGTTCAGATCTCAATTTTTTTTTTGGTACGTATATATTTTAAAATTCAATGGCATGGCATATATGTTTATTATTATACTAAAACTAGATTTGTTATGATTTGTAGAGATATTTTTAGGTCAGTATGATGACTGATGACTCTATTTACCTTGTACTATATTCTAAAAAATATATAAATATACAGCCCTTGGCTATTATGGTGACAAATAGAATGTCAATTTAATCTCATCTGCATAATTTTTACTTTTTTTTTTAACATATGACCACTTGAGTGAAAACTGATATATACCTTCAGGCTATATATATAATAATGACATAGATTCTAAATTTAGTAATTCATTTTTGCTTTGTTTATATTTTATACTTTACAAAAATAATACGAAAAAATAAAAGAACTTGGTAAAAACCTATGTAAATTTTCTATAGCAAATATGCAGTATAAACACAATAGATCTTCATGCACGGTAGATACAGATTGAATGTTGTCATTTAACACTTTATTAAATACCCCATTAATTTACATTATAACATGAACATGTCATTAAACATACAAATAACTTTAAAGGGAAAATCTTCTAGATATTGCCATCAAAAGCTGATCACTTTTCAGAATTAAAATCTGTTATGCAATTTTCCTTAAATTTATCAAGAGAGTACGTAGTTTTAGACTGTTGTCACTTCCATGACCATTGTTGACATTCTCACAGGCTGTATCTAGGTAATATCTATGTACAAGTACATGAGAATGGAATAGAAAACGATCTTAATTTCAATAGTACCTTCAGGCTGAATTGCATGAAAACAATTTGGGAGATTTTAGTACTGAAAAGTTGAAACAAATAGCTTAAATCAAGTTCTATCAGGTGGTAATTGATTTGAAGTTTTGGCTATTAAATCAACTATTAAATCAAACGTATGTTTGACTAAAACTGAAAAACGATACATACATCAAGTATAATTAGCATTAGCAGTATATATCAATATGAGCAAGGACAATAACTAAAATAGGTCAGTTGTATGAAGATTACACAGCGTGAAACTCTAACATGTTTCAGATTCTTCAGATACTTCAAAAATTTAATTACCTCAAGATCATTTTGATAGTGGTCTATTGCCCAGACTGTAGCTACATGAGTTTTAACAAGTTCGGCAAGATCATATTTAGCATTACAAGCTAGAGCACGTATCAAACAGGTCTTTCCTACCCCTGAATCTCCCACCACTACACATTTCACTATCTCATATTGTCCCTGTTGTTGATTAACCATTCTGGACATCTAATATCATTATCTTATTCTGAAAAATATAAAAGTTGATAAGGAAAATTTAGTTTCATCAACAACAATTAATGACATGACATGACATTAGAACAGTACTTAGTTCAATAATCCGAAAATAATATAATATTTAGAATTTAGAGTTTTTAATCAATTTAATAAGTTTTAGTATATCATATTTTCAAATAACATAATATGATATCTTCAATTCCATGTTAAAAGCATTAAATACTGTTTTATAAGATTTCATTTAAACAATATAAACATTAACATAAGTGAGCAATACAGTGTCAGTGCTAGTTCAACTTTGGCATATCAAAATTGTCTGACTGTAACAAAATTAACTTTGCCTAGGTACATCTATATCAATTATCAATATGTCTCATTTGCACCCATTCTAAAATGTCCATTAGAGACTGTGGTTTGTCATATTTGGGGGTTAATTTGGGACTTGATTATATGTATTTTGTTTATGTGTAAAATTGAAATCAGTGAAAATGTTTCAGTTACTAAATTTTTGCATAAGCCTTTTTGACAACATGATCACTTTGTAATAGGTAGTTAACAAATGATAACAGATATTTTGATTTTATGATTTTGTGGCAAAAGGTTACCAGTTGATACTAGGAGTGTCTTTTATTTTGCTTTTATGATCCTGTGACAATAGTTAGTTATTAAAGGGACAGGTGTCCCATTTTGATTCTTGAATATTTGTAAATAGTCTTCAGAAGTACTGAAAATGTCAAAAATCGCATTATTCCTTAATGCCTCAAACTAGAAATTTCACTTATATTTCTTTTCTATATGAGTCTCAATAAGAATCAACTCAAACACGGATAATTCTGGACACACTTGGAGTTGAAAGTTCAAATGTAATTGATTAGCTTAGCTAAAACATTCCTGTTTCTGAAACTAAGGTACAAGTGGTTGGACAAATGGTGAAGCTGTCCCTTTAGTAAATTTGTTTGTTACTTTCCACAATCTTCAATGTGACAACCATGAAACAGAAACTTATGCATCACACATGGAAACTTCTAGATAATTTTTCTATTTCTTTGCATATAAATAACATTAATGTGTCTGCCATAAAATAGTTATAAAACTCTCCATAAAACTACTTCAAATAATATATAACACAATATACATTTTTTGATAATGTTAATTTGAATACAATGATAAAGAATAAACTTATGATAACAATATAGATTCTATTTTATTTCCTTGAATTTCAAATTTCTATAAACTACACCACTCTTTTATAATATTTATAATTAAAAAAAACAATCACCCACAAAATTACTTCCTTAGCCTTATATTATTATCAAATATTTAAAGTAGAAATGTTAATTGTTGATATCAAATAGGTTATTAAATGACTAATGGCACAAAGTTCGTACCCCAACTTTCTTTGTTCACAGTCAGCAATATGATCAGATCAATGCTAGCGAATACCGCAAAACAGAGCCCAAGATTTCATGCATAATTTTTGACAGTCTCAAATTGCTGCATTCTTTGAAACAAGAAAGTGGACCATTGTGAAGATGGTACCCCATATACCATTGCCTTTACCATTCCATAATTTTGTTATTAAACCTAATCAAAAAACAAACTCTAAATTTATTCCTTTTTTTCATCAAATTTGAATCAAAACATTAAAGATTATATTGTCAGTTCCCCTAAAATACAAGAAAAATTTACCTATGAAGGTTTGATTAAAAAAGGAGCTACTTTCTAATCAATCTGAATCTATATATCTTTGAATAGCAACCTAATAAATTATAAATCAAGCTTTATATAAATATATTATACTGTATATCAAAATACCTTACTGATCTTGTCCAAGTTGATACATATCTAAACCTATATTTAAAATGAGCAGTTGTCAACTAACAAAGAAAATACCTGTATACTATACACCTGCTCTCTTATAATGAGACAACAAAGCATTCAAGTTGGATACTCCTCACAAAAATTTCTGTGCTGTAGTCCATTACATAAATTGGACAGAATCAGAATATTATAACAATGACAAACAAGATTTGAAATAGCATAAGATCTTGAATTCAGATTGTAGATGGACAGAAAGTATAAGAGTATTACATAGTTGTAAAATCAAAGTTAAATGTAGTTGCATTGTGAGAAATTTAGAAACTCAGTCCACATTCTACAGCACCTCTCAATTAAGTGGCTAAAAAAGATTAAAAACAGATTACAAGTCTAATACTGCAATGAATGTGATATTAAAGTCAACTAAGTCAAAAGATCAAACAAATGATAAAACACCTTAGATAAAAGATCAAAAGGCTAAATATCAAAAAAGTAATAGCCAAATTCAAAATTTCAATCAAATCTTCATCAACTACACCTAGTAACAAGTACTGCCACAAGTTCATAAAAACAAAATATCAGACAATCCATTTATCAATTGATAACATCCTATTGACATGGGATCATACAGTCAAAATATAAGACAATCCTATTATCAATTGATAACATCCTACTGACATGGGATCATTCCGTCAAAACATAAGACAATCCTATTATCAATTTATAACATCCTACTGACATGGGATCATACAATCAAAATATAAGACAATCCTATTAACAATTGATAACATCCTACTGACATGGGATCATACAATCAAAATATAAGACAATCCTATTATCAATTGATAACATCCTACTGACATGGGATCATACAATCAAAATATAAAACAATCCTATTATCAATTGATAACATCCTACTGACATGGAATCATACAATCAAAATATAAGACAATCCTATTAACAATTGATAACATCCTACTGACATGGGATCATACAATCAAAATATAAAACAATCCTGTTATCAATTGATAACATCCTACTGACATGGAATCATACAATCAAAATATAAGACAATCCTATTATCAATTGATAACATCCTACTGACATGGGATCATAACAATCAAAATATAAGACAATCCTATTATCAATTGATAACATCCTACTGACATGGGATCATACAATCAAAATATAAGACAAACCTATTAACAATTGATAACATCCTACTGACATGGGATCATACAATCAAAATATAAGACAATCCTATTATCAATTGCTAACATCCTACTGACATGGGATCATACAATCAAAATATAAGACAAACCTATTAACAATTGATAACATCCTACTGACATGGGATCATACAATCAAAATATAAGACAATCCTATTAACAATTGGTAGCATGCTACTGACATGGAATCATACAATCAAAATATAAGACAATCATATTATCAATTGATAGCATCCTACTGACATGGAATCATACAATCAAAATATAAAACAATCCTATTATCAATTGATAACATGCTACTGACATGGGATCATACAATCAAAATATAAGACAATCCTATTACCAATTGATAACATGCTACTGACATGGGATCAAAACAATCAAAATATAAGACAATCCTATTATCAATTGATAACATCCTACTGACATGGAATCAAAACAATCAAAATATAAGACAATCCTATTATCAATTGATAACATCCTACTGACATGGGATCACTGACATGGGATCATACAATCAAAATATAAGACAATCATTTTATCAATTGATAACATCCTACTGACATGGGATCATACAATCAAAATATAAGACAATCCTATTAACAATTGGTAGCATGCTACTGACATGGGATCTTACAATCAAAATATAAGACAATCCTATTAACAATTGATAACATCCTACTGACATAGGATCATACAATCAAAACATAAAACAATCATATTATCAATTGATAACATCCTACTGACATGGGATCATAAAAGCAAAATAAAAGACAATACTCTCATCAACTTTGCCACAAAATCATAAAATCAAAATATCTGTTATAATTTGTAAACTATCTATTACCAAATTACCATTATGCAAACATTTTCACTGATTTCAATTTTACACATAAACAGTTAATCAGAGTACATGCACCTTAAACTTCAAATTTGATAGTGTTTTTGATATTTAACCTCTATTCTTACTCTGTCACAATGCAAAATTTGATTGATTGGGTATTCACCTTTAACAAAATTCACTGAATCAAATGCCTATCCTGCATCCATGGTAACGAAATTGCTGATGACACTAATTAAGGTGTAGGGATCAGGTAAGTGCCATAGGCTCTTAAAATCAAGGGCTGGACTAAAAAAAAACCTCTTGATATACCTTTTACCTTTTAATCAAATCAAATTTATAGTATGGACTTCCTTCTATTGGCTAGAATGTGCTCCTTCCAACTTGTAACTTTGGTATTGTTGAGGTTACATATTGTAAATCTCCAGTTAACAATACAAATTTAAAAGGTTATGAACTTTTAAGAGTTCAAACCAGTCAAGCTTCTAATATGAAAATGTGTGGTCTCTTTAATTAGCTTAGTCATAACTTTAAAAGAAAATCTTTTCAAAGGATCAGTTAATGACTATAATTAATACTTCATGCACCAACAAATAAACAATATGCTTTTTGTTAAAGATCTATTTAAATGTCAAGGTTATGTTAATTTCTCATAAAAAAATGATCTATTCATGTAGAAGTTTACATTAACTAGAGTATGTACCCTACATCAAGCAAAACCCTTAAAATGGGCTATTAAAAATATGCAACATCATGTATAATCTTACCTGTCAGATATAAGCTTAATCAATATTACCATGTGATACATGTACACTAGAATCTAAAACAGTATATGTACATCAATACAAATATCTGTGTTATGTATTTGCCCCATTTGTATAGCATAATCACAATTCTTTTGAAAAAATATCAATATAAATATAACTTAACACATTGTTTTCAATTCAACTTTGCAATATGATAAACTATGTAATTGGTTCAAGATTAATGCATATTTGAATAGTATAGTATATGCCTAACAATTAAGCATCAAATTTGACTCAAATTTGGCAACTATTTAGATGACTACATCACTATTAATGTTGGCCAAGCAATCAATTAATTTGTGCAAGATATTGTTGATTTAAACAAACACACATTATCTGACATAAACTGTCACCTCTTTCGCCAACAAATTTTGATGCGTTTTTACTAAGTCAAGGGCAATAACTCAAATTCCATTGATCAAAAAATTGTCAAATTCAATCTTGACTAAGATTTGATCATTATAAATGATCATACCAAATTTCATCTAAATCGGATGAAAACTGTAAACTTTGTGTTCACAAACAAATTTTGACACGTTTTTCATAAATCAAGGGCAATAACTCAAAAACCATTGAATGAAAGATAGCCAAATTTGAACTTGTCCAAGATCTCATCATTATAAATATCAACACCAAATTTCATTTAAATTGGATGAAAACTGTAGTCTTTATTGTGTTCACAAACAAAATTTGATGCGTTTTTCATAAGTCAAGGGCAATAACTAAAAAAACGTTTGTTGAAAGATAGCCGACTTCGAACTTGTCTAAGATCTCATCATTTTAAATATTCCCAACAAATTTCATTTAAATTGCATGAAAACTGTAGTCTCTATTGTGTTCACAACCAAATTTTGACGAGTTTTTCATAAGTCTAGGGCAATAACTGAAAAACCGTTCATCGAAAGATCGTCAAATTTGAACTTGTCCAAGATCTCATTAATATAAATGATCACACCAAATTTAATTCAAATCAAATAAAAACTGTTGTCTCTATTGTGTTCACAAGCCAATTGTGGACAGACGGACAGACAGGGGCGACGACAATATTCGACCACATTATAATGTGTAATAAATCATAAAACTTGACATCAAATACCATCCTTTAATACCCAACATTTCGTCAAAAAGTTTTGACTTTACATTATAATGTGGGCGTATAAAAAAAGGATTCTGGCCAAGGTAGAAATTAAGGACACACTTGAAGGCTCAAATTTCAATGCTCAGCTGTGAACACTATTACTGATTAGCTTGGCTAAAAGGATTCCCATTTTTGAGACTAAGGTACAATTGGTCCCTTTAACACATAGCATTGCTTGATAATAATATATATACAATGTAATTGTGTCCAGTAATTCATTCTCCAATTATCAAATGCCACTCAAGGAAGTTGACATATATTGCTGACAGGCTCCTAATGAATGTTCATATATCAGATTTTCAAACTCAAAGACTGTTAACACTAGAGGGTAACCATATTGTCTTCCATACTACCATGCAACAAGTGGTTTCAAAATCTTATATTGCAATTAAGTTTAGTAATGTGACTGTGTCTCCCATCATCAACAGCTCAATTCACTCTTATCAATGTAAAAATATATGAATATGAACAAATTGTTTTTTTTTTTAAATTTTAAGAGAGAAAAATGCTTTAATGAAGCTTCTAATACAAGGACACTGTGACATTTGTACACAGACACTTTAATTCAAATTTTACATTTATCCAAGTTCTCAACACGAAGATGGCAACTTGAATAGATGAAATCAATCTGCTACGGTACTGAGTACTGTAGACTAGCCGGCTCAGTACTTCAGTAAAATTATGATAAAATTCAAAACATAAGTGTATTTGATATTAGATAATAAAAATTGAACTATTTAATGAATAGCATGACAGTTTATCATAAGCATGAAAGAAACCCTGAATTAGTAGTAGTATGGCCTAGCCTACTAAATGTAATAATAATACAATACATAACATTGATTGTAATTTCATTTAATTATTGACAATGGCATTATCATTAGTTTAACAACATTGTCACACTCTGTCACCAGCACTGCAACGTAACAACATTAATTAACATTAAAATCAAACAATACTTACTCACTTACTAAAAAAATAACTGTCAGTTTAGACCTGCCCAGGTCACTTAAATTTTATTATTGAAACCTGCAGACGGGCAGTATTTTCATTTTTATTGTTCACTCATTCATAATAAACATTACGAACTACGTCATTGAGAAGGGTTGCCAGAATTATTTTTTTAGGTGAACAAATCAATCTGACAACAGAGCATAGATTGATCAATTATTCAATTATTCACTTTTTGTGGAATAAAATTAGGTTTAGAATATTTTTTAGCCATGATGATGCCAAGTCAATCATAAAGGTTTGAATCCAAATCTAAACCAGTACATGTACTGAAATTGTCAAATATGAATTTTCTGTTCTGTCATTTGTGTACAATTTGAGTACATTGAAGAATAAGACAAACCTAGGCAATTTAAATGACGTAGTACGCATCCGGCAGTCATCCAGAATGGCGATCGACTTAAAGAAAAACAGAGATTCGCTCTTAAAAGCTTACAACGACATTGTTGATGATAAAAATGACACAGATTGGTAAGATTTGCAAAATTGCACCCATGTGTAGTTTTTGTTTAATTGAAATATCTGGATTTAATGCATGTGTGATAAATGTTGAAGTGGAGTGTAACTTCCTTGGACGAGTAGATAGTCATCTCTACTTCCTCTTTTTATTGTACAAAATATTAAGTCAAAAAAGGGGTGGGGCTCGTCTTCAAAAATCTGACCTATGGTCATTTTTTACCATAACATCTGTATATGAAGCAAAGCTTCAACAGAATCTTGTTAAATCATATGCATATATGTCTGTTATTTGGTCTTGAAGAAACAATTGTATTATTTAGGGCTGGGTAAAATGATCAAAATAATCGATTATGGTATTTTCCTTTTAATTTTGAATATCAATTATCAAATTTCATAATTGATTATATGTCAATGGAACTCCCAGAAAAGATGCTGGCCTGGCTTTGCCCCCCCATTTTCAATTTTTTTCTCATTTTACTTAGTGAAAAAATAATCTGTGACCCCCTAGAAAATATTGTGGCCCCTGCCCGACCCTTTCACCTGATGTATCTTTGAAACACCACTGCAGACATATTGTACCAGATTTGTGTGCAGTATGAGCACATTTCTGTAATCGAAATCAACCAGTATGGCTAATTTGTCGTTGCTTGTTATAAACTGACACATATTGGTTTGAATGTTGGGGATAAAAAAATTCAGATAATATAATAATGTGCAGTATACTATTTTTGGGATTGGAAGGTTCTATGAGATATTTTTGCAAGTGCTTGAATTTATGAAATCTAATCTTATTCTCTTGTGTGATTTTGCCCAACTGTCATCCCCAATGGGAGTCATTATAATTATTGTTGGTGCCACAATCACAGCCTAAAATTGCTAGTAAATTACCAGTGTGTGTATATGTATGATCATGATATATTTCTATATTCAGGGCTGTATTTGGGTATGAAGGTCAAACATGTACATTGAAAGTTGTAGAAACTGGAGGTAAGGTTAATCTTATACTTAATTATCCTGATTTTCCTCATGTCATATTAAAAGTCAACACTTTTTTTAACCCCATGTTTAAGTGGGGCATGGTAAGTTTCCAAACCAAAATTTCGAAAGTCGAAACTTGGCTATGAATTGAGTATCTAAACCAAGTCTCCAAGTTATGATACTTCAACATGGCATCCACCCTTTAGGTGAAAATAAAGTAATTTTTTTACCATAGAGCACATATCTTGATACCGAATTTCTGATACGTGACCCTTATACACCAAGTACTAACCTTCAATTCCTACATTCAATTTTACTACTTCTGAAATGAAAAAAAACAGCTTGTGGAATGAATGAAATTTAATAAATTATGCAATAAGTGTATGATATTTTTTTTTGATTTGGTCGTTTTTTCTTGAAAATGACATCAACTTTTATTATTTCCAGGCAGTCTTAAAGATTTACAAACAAATTTATTTGATTCTAAGTGAACAGTCTTTCTAAAGGTTTAACAAACATATAACATTCCAATGTTCTTAGCAGTTTCTTCTTAGTTTCTATTGTATTGATATATCTGCTCTCTGAGGCCTGTTTCATGTGATTTTATTTTCGTTCTGTAGATGGTGGTTTAGATGAAATGAAAGATGATTTTAACAGTGGTAAAATAATGTATGGATATTGTCGAGTTACTGATCCAAATACAGGCTTATATAAATATGTACTTATTAATTGGGTAAGAATTTGAATTTTTCATTACTATTTATGTAATTCTCAAATTTTTCTTTGTCCTGTTCTTTAAGATTCAATTCATGTGTGGCCTCTACAGTTAATATCAAATTCGTAACGTCTGCAAAATCATCCATCTGCAAGATGCTGATCACGTCAAGTTGTTGATGTTTTTAGGCCTTTTAAAGTCACTTTCAATCAATTGACTTTCTTTCAGCAAGTTATAAAAAAAGTTATGGCAAATATTTAGATATGAAATTTCTCATTATAGCAAGGTGAAGGCGCTCCAGATCAGTTCAGATTAAAATATTCAACACATTTACGAGATGTTCAATCATTCTTTAGGGTAAATATGATTCCATTTTTGATTAAATTATAGCCTAAATTGATTGGTTAATATATATAGTTATTTACCACATTTATTATGGTTTTTATTGTGAAAGTAATGAAAATACTTCATATCAAACAGTATTAATTAAAATGATTTTTAATATGAGGATAAATGATTTAGTCATATTTTTATGAAGCTGGCACATACCCCCCTCTCTTTAAGAACTGATATAAGAGCAATTATATTTAGAAAAACAAACATAGATATGCTTAAGCAATATCTGTGATAGATTTTCATTATCTTATATATATATATATTTCAGGCTATTCATGTAACTATTAATGCTAGAACTGATGATGATGTAGATTCTGATTTAATAACAACTAAAGTAGCCAAATCATCAGGTTCTAATTACAGTTTTCATAAAGAGAAAGCACGACCAGTTGAAGCTCCTACTCCTGTTGTAAGTTAATAATTATTTTAAAATCCTTTATCAACTCATTATTTGTGCTGCAACATAATGTGATGAAGAACTAAAAAATTTGTAGTTGATGTTGCTTAGGAGAGCTGTTTTGGACATCAAGGTTACATTTCTAATAGTTGAACTTTTGACAGATGATTCAAGTAATAAAACTCCCAGAACCTAAGCAAGTATCAAAAGATTCATCTATAGTTGAATGAACATTGCACATATATCCAGGACTATATTTCTGTCAGTGTCGCAATTCAATATTACATTTGAGTGACTTCACAGTATACAACATTTTTAACTCCAGGTTAATTTCATTTCAACATTATTTCTAAATTATTCCGTTTTTTCAGGGAACCAATTACCAAAGAACTTTTGCACAAAGAGATATAAATAACAAGACTAGAGATAAATTCTGGGCTGGAACTGAGGTTAGTATGTGAAAGCTATATTGTATAGTAATGTATCAAAGTTTCCACACACAATAATTCCAGTGTCTCTGTAACAATTCATTGTACACCGCACACCAAAATTTATCAGTAGAAATCTCTTCTGTTTGAAATTTCATTAAGACTTGAATCACTGGGCCAGTCTTAAAAAAGGTTATAAACAGAGGATAAAAAACAATGTATTTTCCACTAGTTATGTTAGTTTTTTCTCAAGATCAAACAATATTGTTAAACTTTAGTATCAAAATAATCCCAGTTTTCTAACATAAATGGTAATACTTAAATTTCCATATAAAAACTGGTGAAATCTCTTTAGTTTCAGGATTTGAATTTTTACATTTCCTCTATTTTTATTTCTCACTGTTAATTTTAAAGGGATTGAAAAAGAGGTTTCTTGCCTTTTTATTTGTATCAGGCTAGGAAACCTATTACAATCCCTTTAAGTATTTCAAATTTATTTGGAATGAGAAGCCTACATAAATTGATATTTGACACTTAGCTTGTTAATTGTTTTTTTGTAGAAAGATGAGTCAGCTAGAGTGGAAGAAGAAAAAAACAAAGCTAAGATTGAGGCTGAGAGACTTGAAAATGAAAGGAAAGAGAGAGAGGTATGATAATATTTTAACTTCTCACTCCCTGTATCATAAAAGTTTAAAAACACACCAATAGCTTCATTTAAATGACATCCTGATTTTGAACGTAAAAAAAAAAAGTTTTTGCTACCGAGGAATCAATATTCCACAATAAAACAGAGTTTCTGATTATTATCTTGAAATGGGATTCCACCAAATGTGAACGTCAAAAAATGATGAAAAACTCTATTAATCTCATGAACAAATAAATAGTGAAAAAATGAAAAGTTGTTTAGTTCGACAAAATATTATCCCAATCCCTTGCACAGCTGTCCATTATCTATTTTACCTGTCATATCTTTGTAAGCAAATTATCCTTACGCTATATTCCATCCAAACTTGTCAAAACAGTGTAGTCATATTGAACAAAAACTTTTTCTTTTTCACCATTTTATTGCAATGAAATTAAAGCCTTCAGCCAGGTTTTTGTTCGATTTTCTACATTGTTAATTGCACTTTATCCCAACCAGAACCTAACCATGTAATCATTTTAAAAGGTTCGAGAAGCTAAAGCAAGAGAACAAGCTATTTCTGAGAAAATGAGAAAAGTCAGTGAACATAAACGTAATGAACAACTAGCCAATGCAACCAATAAAGAAGAAGAAAAAAGAAAATGGGTAAAATGCGCATGATTATTGTTTATATATGGTGGATGTTTTTACTCTATTAACTGTTGTTTCTTTTATTTAGTTCTTGGGAAGATTTTCTTTTTTCAATATGTAACTGTTTTCAGTATCAAACTGTTTTCAGTATCAAACTGTTTTCAGTATCAAACTGTTTTCAGTATCAAACTGTTTTCAGTATCAAACTGTTTTCAGTATCAAACTGTTTTCAGTATCAAACTGTTTTCAGTATCAAACTGTTTTCAATATCAAACTGTTTTCAATATCAAACTGTTTTCAATATCAAACTGTTTTCAGTATCAAACTGTTTTCATTATCAAACTGTTTTCAATATCAAACTGTTTTCAGTATCAAACTGTTTTCAGTATCAAACTGTTTTCAGTATCTAACTGTTTTCAGTATCTAACTGTTTTCAGTATCTAACTGTTTTCAGTATCTAACTGTTTTCAGTATCAAACTGTTTTCAGTATCAAACTGTTTTCAGTATCTAACTGTTTTCATTATCTAACTGTTTTCAGTATCAAACTGTTTTCAGTATCAAACTGTTTTCAGTATCTAACTGTTTTCAGTATCAAATTGTTTTGTTGATATAATAATGCTTTTATCTTTTCACTTATTGCTACTAACTTATTTTGATAACTCTCTTGTTTACTGTTCCTTTGTTGGCTTGTTTAACTTTCTATTGTAATTTGTGTTCTTGAAAATGCCACACATTCAGTTGTCTGCTTTTTTCTTAACAGCTTTCTAAACACCATAAGTCACCTCTCTTTGATTGAAATTGTTAAAAAGTGGTTCAATCTGTAGATAAACTATAAAAATTCTTGGTAATATTTACTGAACTCATGACTGTTAATAATTGTAATTTATTATATGGATGATTTTCTATTATAATGATTAGTTGAATAATGATCATTTTTTAATGAAACAAGCTCAAAACCAGGTAAAATGGTACCCCCTTTGTAAAACTTATCTCCATTCAATGTTTATCGTGTAAAGATTTAGATTGTAAGTAAAAATAAATCTATATCTGCAAATGTTTTTTCTTTGTATTTAAATAGATTTATTACCTTTCTTCATGTCTTATTTAAAAAAAAAAAACTTGAAATTGTTGAATGTTTTTAATGTAGGATATCTAAATTTTCTCAGAATAAGAAGATATCTCCATTCCACAAGCTGCAGCCTAATATTTAAAATTTATTATATAGCTACTGCTTGTGATATGATTCATGTACTTGCAAAATTAAACAAATAAATATGACTATTCTTTATTTTATAAAGCAGAAATTTATAAATAGGTTATTACAGTTTGTTTCAACATCTTATTAATATGTCTTTATTTATCTGCAATCAGTACAATTGAACACTGTTTTAACATTAGAAACACATTTGGTTGATATTATTATTATATAATATACAGGAAGAAGAACAGAAAGCTATATCAAATGATGATGAACAGAGAAGACAAAGAGGTGAAAAGTTACGTAAAGAAAGAGCTGCTGTAAGTTATTTCTTCTACAATATATAAATAATATAGAAATATATTCTACAAAATATAATGTCAGATTCGAATTTATTCTAAATGGTAAGCGTTGTTTTGTGTTTTGCTTCCATTTATTCACTATACATTAGAAGTAGATAAAAGACAGGCAAAATTACTAGTTTCCTTATCCTGACAATTTTTTTTTTTTTAAATGTCATAGTGCTTCTTTACACAGTAAGGTTTACATTGTAAAAGTCATCATTTGGAATAATGAAATGCTGGTTTTGACCATTTCTGTTTCAAAATATTATAAAAAAAAGTAAATGCTATGAAAATTTGGCTATTTTTTACAGGAAGCTAAATCATTGGTAGGTGGTAAAACAAGTGGTACAAGATCAATGTTTGAAGAAAAATCTCGACAAGTTGGTGGTACTAGTAATACTGGTCCCCCACCACCCAGGTACTGAATTAGTCATAAAGTTATTTACTGAATCTAACCTGGCCCCAAATAAATATTATTTGACAGAAGTTGACCAGATGAGAATCAGAAATAGGTCCATTTTCCTCAAATATCGTTCAAAGAGCAGATGCGCCATTTTGGGGGGTTGATATGAGTCTTGAATATATGTAAATAGTCTTCAGAAGTACTACAAAAAATCGCATAGTTCCTTCAAAAGTATCTCAAACTTCAAACTTATTTCTATAGCTGTCTTTTCTATATATGGCAGAATCCCAAGAAAGGACGACTCGTCTTTTTAAATTTTCAAATGCAGATAATTTTGGACACTAATTTTAAGGCTCATATTTCAACGGTGAGCTGAGAACACTATTACTGATTGGTTTTCCATTTCTGAGACTAAAGTATGAAAAGTATGGTGCATCTGCCCCTTTAAGCAAAGTTGAACAAAACCTCATTCATTACATATGTGGTAATGACTGGCACAAAATGTTTCGATTTTCCTAAATTATCTCTACATGGTTTTTATCCTAATTGCTTTATTTTAGAAAACTCAAAAGTACATTCCTTGAAAATCAAACACAGCAAGATGAGCCAGCACGCAAACAACCAATTGAGCTTCCTAAGAGTGACCCGCCAAAACCACCTAGAAGTAACCCTGAACCGGAACCAGAACCAGAACCAGAACCTGAATCAAATGAACCAGAATCAGAACCTTATGAACCTGAACCAGAAAAAAATGTTTATGAACTAGAAGAAGATGAACTGCCGCAGCCAGTTCGAACAAGTGCCAATGTTGCTCCCTCTGATCTTCCTAAAACCAGAAATTTACTGCAGGAATCACTACCTAAAAGACAAGACTCTGATGAAGAAGATGGAGACCAAGGCTGGGATGGTAAGATATGCATTATCCTTAATGATTAATATTAAGGTTATTGAAAACTTGCCTATGAAATTTGTATTTGATCACTTACATTAGATTGAAGCTAGGGATTTAAAACATCTGTATTCATTGTAGATGAACCATCAGAACCAAGTGTTCCATCACCACCAAAACAACAAGAAGTAACAGCAAATGTTGTAGAGGAAGAAGAAGAATCTTATGATGATACAACACCTACAACAACTACCACCTCAGATACAGGATTAACAGCTACAGCTCTGTATGATTACCAGGCTGGTAAGTAATTAACAGAGGTTTGTGATTGCTTTCAAACCACAGAAAACTTAAATCGTGCCAAACATAATTCTCTGTAACTTTGAGCATCCCAATTACTGTTTATTTTGGACATGGCCAAGAGCTGAAAAGGACTGCTTTTCTGAAAAGTGAGAAATAAGTTAGGTTTCCAGTCCTATGCCTCAAAGCTCAGGCCACGTATTCCTGAAACAATCTTAGTGCTAGAATGTTCAAAGTTCTTATCTTCTAACATTGATTCTAGAACATCCTTGTGCTAAGATCTTTTCGAGAATATGTGTACTTGTGTGTGACCATGATTAATTGCTTGGGTTGCCGGTGAAAAGGGGTTTCAATATATAAGGCCATGTTAGCTCCCGTTCACATACTTTTCTAATACACCCAAAGTCAAATATTTCAAAGATTACTTTTTCAAAACTAGCTTTCCTGATGAGGATTTTATATCTGAAATGATTTAATCAATCTAATATTTGATATATTGTAGCTGATGAAACAGAAATAACATTTGATCCAGGAGATATTATAACTAATATTGAACAGATAGATGATGGTTGGTGGTTAGGTACATCACCAGACGGACACCATGGAATGTTTCCCGCCAATTATGTGGAAATTAATGAATAAAATCAAGACTTTATGTGATAAATATTTTTAAAAACTTTATAAATTTCCATTTTGCTATCAATATAATTTGTCATTATTGATTTATTTAAAGTATTGTAGATTACAACCATTTTTTTTCTTGATTCAGATACTGTTACCAGATTTAGTGCAATTCTACTTTGGTCACAATAGGATATGTACAAGCTTTAGGCATACTTTCAAGGTTTTTAACAAAATCACTTTGCCTTGTCTTTTTATTCATATCAAATCTAAAAGATTACTTCCTTATCAGTGAAAGTTCACTCCTGAAGTGTGAATATTCTTCCATTTATCTAAGATTAAAAAGAATGAATTTAAGTTATAATATTATGAAGATAAAACCAGGGTTTATAGAAAAGATTGAAGTAAAGTTAATATATTATATAAAAAAATCAAACCAGTCAATATTAGATTGAATTATGGTTGAGCGAAGTGATTATTATTATTATAAATTAGAAAGATTAATTTTTAAAAGATTAACCTACTAACACTTCAAGAGAAATAAACTCTGTTTAATAAATGAAAGGTTGAAAAAAGGTTGATATATGAAAGATGTCAGAGTTTTTCGTGGTAAATTCATGTTTTTTATATCATGGTATTTATTATTTTAAGAGATAATTACATATATTTATCAGCTGTATAAATTTTGTATCTTTCTAATGTCATATTAGGTGTATGATATGTCTTTCAATTCTCAATTTCTATGATGAAAATGTCTCTTTGTTTTCAGTATTTAATCAGGAATTCTTATTGTATGTCTAATCTATAGATTGCATCAAATATTATTTCTAAATTTTCTATAGAGAAGTTCATAATGACATGACAGCTAAATTATGGAGATCATCATATCAAATTGATTTTACTAGTGATACAAGAATTATTTACCATACACATATTAAATGCTATGAAGCATATGAATTTGCCAAATATTGCCTAACACAGATAAGAAATTTTCTTTGTAGCAGTTGAACTAATTTACCCTTCACCCTGAACTCTGAAGTTTACACATCTTAGAGAGTATGATGTTAAGTGTTACAGGACATCACATGTTTACAGCTGTTTTACAGGCTGCTTATGTATATATCTCATAGTTTTCAGGCCAGTAACGCTAGTGTTGAAAGGGTTTAATGCTGGAACATTAGTTATATTATCTATTTGTAAATGAATCATATTGGTTTATACATGACTTCATTTCAACACTGATTTTGTTTATTTTGTTATTTAGGTATAGGTTATTGTTATTATTTCAAAATGTGCTGTGCATTGCAAAAGCTTCATTAGGTTCCTTTGATTGTAAGTTTGAATCTGCATTTGCCTTGGATATGTTTGTTCACATATAAAGAGATTCTAGACATTTTATTTGTATCAGGGACACATGTCTTTTCTATGTGCACCATTCAAATTCCTAATTAACATTTTTGACTCATGGAATCCAAGAAATACTTGAGCCAGATTATGGTTTGAACAAATTAATATGGTATACTCATATTTTTTTGCTTTGTCCAGCTCAGTAACAGAATCTAAAACGTGCATACATGGACATTGGTTTTGATGTGGTCAGAGAATCATATCCAAGGTGAATCTAAATATTTCAACTTGACTTGAAATCATTGCTAAAACTTGTATAGACATCTATCTTTATTTAGCTTTTTAACTAATATTTTCATTTCTTTGTTTTTTATGTTATTTATCTGTGGAAATTAAATCATAAATAATATATAAGTAATAATGATCAACATTTATATTTTAATAAAGTCATCTTTATAAAGTCACTCTTTTGGTATTACTTAGTTTGTTTACACTTATCACTACACTAACAACAGATATGGCTCTAATCTCACGGTGATCGAAGGATTTGGCGAGATCGGTTATGAACTGAAAATATTTGGATTATAAAACAAAGTACATCTTTGTTTTAAAAAAAGTCTGTCAATGGAATATAATATTTATCATATAGAACAAATATCTCTTTCATTCATAAACAATTTGAAAGACAATAACAATTAGTAATTAAAGTATAAAAACAGTTGGAATAAAATTAACAACAATAGTATATCCATATCATAAATCTATTCTCTTGAAAAAAAATTGTGCCCGTGGATTATTCTTAGTTGCAAAAGTAAGCACAGAAAATGTAAGTTTAAATAAGTTTATCCTTAGTGCCTCTGGTTTATAAGATAGATAATTAAAAAAGATCAATTCCTAAATGACAATTTTAATGTCTTACTGTCACACAGGATAGATGTATATGGTAACACATCGAATGGGGGCATGGTTGGACACGATAATTGTAACAATGATTTTCTTCCTTTCCAGCCAAGAGGTATTCTTCACCATAATAAGGCTAAACTAATACCGTTTGATACAACTCAATAATAAATTCAACTTATAATTGTGACGTAAAATCAAATTCAAGTTAGAATGGAAGTCAAATTAACAATATTTGAAGCTGGGCAGAAGCAATCAGCTCCAACTCCTATTGTGATATCTCAAAAACAATCTGTACCATAGTCCAAATTGTCAAACCCAGGAAAATAAATGCTTGTGTGTACAGCAGTGAGATCCCAATATTATAATAAACTAACATGTGACATGACTTCTCCTGACATATCCCACAATTTACGAGCTAGTTGTTGACAATGTAGAGCTATATACTGTGGTTTAACTAATCCTATATGCATCATAAATAACTCATAACATCGCACTGATCCTGTGACATAGTTTGGAAAACACTGTTTGACTAGTAATCTGAAATGAACAGATTCAGGAGAAAATTATCAAGGTCTCAAATCTTGAAGTTCATCACATCACATCATGAGATGTCAAGGTTAGCGTGGAAATTGACATTTACATTAGAAATTAAGAAATAGTGAAAAACTTACTTATAAAATGGACCAGTTAATAAACCAGGTGGGGGTAAATCTTGTACTGTTTTAAATGGTTCAGATATTTGTAATGGTGAACCCTGAAATGTCAATACAAAGATATAGTGGTGTTAATATTTACCATACCCGGTCAATTAGGCCACATGTATCTTTATTCTCTTTCTTATGTGCATATTTAACAAAGACATTATAATATTGACAGTAACTCCATAAATGTTAATTATGGTTTGGTCTGGGAAGCGTAATGACATCGTATCTTATTTCTGAAGAGTTCCACATTTAGCTCAAATTGAGTTTTATCAGATGGTAACTGATACCTCAAATATTTAGATGAGTGTATCCCTTAAAGCCCTAGAGTGTACGGTGGGGGATTGTGAAATACAGTAGAAAATAGAACAAGTAAACACACGAGGTACAGGTCCAGACACAGTGCAGACACGATTCACTTCTACCATTTTCTACTGTATCCATAATCCTGCACTGTACATTGTTTATTTCCACCTTTAATAAAGATAATGGTATTGACAGAAACGTCAGTTGGAATTACTCACTCTATTGTCTTCAAACCACAGAAAATAGGAAAAATAAAAATCTCCATCTTGAACCATTGATGTCACATACCCTTCACTTAATCTTAACATGGCATATTGGTATTTTGACCATATCTACAGAATATACAAAAAATAAAACATGAAATGACATGCAATATGTTTTCAAGGCTATCAGAAATGACTACAAATATCCATGGTAACATCCTTCAGAGACTCGAATTGTTTTTGAACAGCATATCTATTCTTCTGGACAAAATGATATAATGTGCTTTTTTCACCTCACCGCGCTTCAAAATCTAATTCATTGAATCCAAGTATTGACATAGTGATGGCATATACAATTAAGTACCTGTAATTTTATAATTACAGGAATCAAAGATATCTGATCTTTACAATCCCATTTACCCTGATGTGCAACCCACCTTTTCTTTAATATATTCTTTAGGATCATCAAGTATATCATTAGTTATATTTAATGATGGTGCTGTTAGTTGATGAGATTGACGATCTATATAGATAAAATGAACCAATCCAGGAAATTCCTCTATATATTTATCATTTATTAAGGAAAAGTAAATCAAAAAAACATTTGGGATAAAATAAGGGTGTATTACTCAAAATATATTACATCTAAATTTGTCCCAACATGCATGACATTAACCTGTCAAAATGAAGACATTACAAAACTTCTATTTGAATTATTTAGGTTTTGGAAGCCATTTTATACTAGGAAAATTCCCACTTCCTATTTATCTGTGATGTAAGAATATATCATTACTTCCTTTTATTCTATTTTGAACAGCTTCAATTACACTGACAGATCCATTATGTAAAGATTCCTGCATCAAACGACCTGTAAAGTAATATTAGCTAAACAAAGGATATGATGTCATAGGTATATTACGTTGAGCTTTGACAGTTAAAAAATCTCTATAATCAGCTAGTTCTACTTTTATTTTCTTCTGTAAGCTCAGTATTGTTTCCTTTATAGACTCATTGACTCCTTTAGGTGATAGATATAATAGTGAAAACAATTCCTTTAATTTACGAAATAAATCAGAAAGAGTTGTTTCTATTCTGAAAAAAAAGGTTAAATTCAAAGATGAATTCACGCCCAACAAATTTAAAACATCTTCTATTAAAGTTCACATTAACTGACCATTTTACTAATGTACATTCTGTATATCCTGTGCTGTATATCTTAATTGGACTTTCAAGTAAAATAATTGATCCCCCCCCCCCTTTGAAAGATTTCACCCCCTAAGACCATGGGCTGGATATTAGTCAGCTATCATATAAGCAATACCTACAATGGATCTGCCTCAACACCAGCATCTGATTCTAAATACTTAAACAATCCCTGTTTTAAATCATCACTCTCCCAACGATTTTTAATTTCTGACACAATACGCTGACTTCTACCCTAAAAAAAGTAAAAATTGCAAATTTAGAGCAAAAATAAAAGAAATATTCCATGAAAATGTGAAATACAGAGCCAAATCTAGGTCTTATATCTTACATGCCACTAAAACTCAAGGGCATGACTGGAATTTCAATCCTAACTTATGTAAGTGATGCAGATAAAGAGTAAGAGTCTGTCTTGAAAAACTCACTTCTAAACATGTTAGGATGAATTGTACACCTACTTCATTTCTATCTAAATATATCATTTTTTATCCGATTTTGCCTCAAAATGTAGTTAAGATCGAATCAATTCTATTTTTCAAAATTTTCTTGGGGAACCCTCTCAGACGCTTCAAGGGAGGCTTGGATCTATGGTGCTTTCATCAAAGAGTCTTTAAACCCACGCAATTAAGTTACTCACTCTGACTTTTTTCAAATGACCTTGAACTTTGGCTAATAAGGAATTTACAACATCATATAAATTTTGACCTTGACCTCTATTTAATTTATCTCTTTTGCCAGCTAATAAATCTTTTAAAATAGCAAAAATCTGACACAGAGTTCCAGCAACAGCACCACGGATACCCTGAAAATAGAAAACAACATTCACAGCATAGTTAAAATTAGATTTCTATTTCTTTATTTGTATAAAATACTACTCAGAAATCACAAAAGTACTATGAGGACTATAGTAACCTATCCCTGTGACTAGGATAAGGAGTATAGTAACCTACCTCTGTAACTAGCATGAGGACTTTAGTAACCTACCTCTGTCACTAGAATGAGGACTATAGTAACCTATCCCTGTGACTAGGATGAGACTATAGTAACCTACCTCTGTAACTAGAATGAGGGCTATAGTAGCCTACCTATGTGACTAGATTGAGGTCGATAGTAACCCCCTCTGTAACTAGCATGAGGACTAAAGTAACCTACCTCTGTAACAAGAATGAGGACTATAGTAACCTACCTCTGTCACTAGAATGAGGACTATAGCAACCTACCTCTTTCACTAGAATGAGGACTATAGTAACCTACCTCTGTCACTAGAATGAGGACTATAGTAACCTACCTCTGTCACTAGAATGAGGACTATAGCAACCTACCTCTGTCACTAGAATGAAGACTAAAGTAACCTACCTCTGTCACTAGAATGAGGACTATACCAGGTAATATTTGTGTGCAGTGTAATTGATGAGGTGAATATTCACATTGTCTTGTATGTAGAAATATCATCTGACGCCAATATTCTGGCACATGATCTGATCGAAGTGGTCTGGTATTTTTTATACTCTCATCATATGAAGCTGCAGTATTACTTCTTGGTCGGCGATAATCATTGAAAAATTCTGGTGATGTCCTTTTGCTCTGAGATGGCTGGAATACAATAAAGATAATATGGACTATAATAGAGTTTTAATTAATGATTGCCCCAGGTCACTACAGTAAGAGATGTAGATCCCTGATGTTCATAGAATTAAAGAATCTTTGTTGATCTTTCACATATTCAAAGTGAAATTGTTTATCCAGATGATGAATCATGGCCAATAACTATTATCAAGAGATAATACTCGGAAAAGCTGGTATAAAGTCATCCTGTGAAACATGGATACATATAATCATTCAAAAATAAGCATTACAAACTATAATACCTACAGTGTCACTATTCTGAATATATCTATATAGACTGTCTAATCTAACATCATCTTTTGGTGTGAAAAATACATCAGACTCATGTCCACCATGGGTTGTAGACACTTGAGGATAGGGTGAGCGTTTTTGGTCATTTGGTGAGACTAAAAGTGAATGCTTTTTAATTAAAATTCAAATATAACTTGACAGGTTTCAAAATGAAAATAATCTCCACATGAAAATGTAATTGAAATGTCATGCTTATTCATGAAAATAGTATGATACAGGACATAGAAATTGATAATTCTTATTATGATTATAACAAATTACGTTGGGTTCAATATATTTCACTGTTGTTGAGCTGAAAATATCTTAATTCCTGACTGTTATCAATTACATTTGTATCCTTTAATAAGATTAATGCAAGATCAAACAATAAGATATTTCATTTCATTGCAATTGGAACAAATCACTTTTCTATATGAGATACCTGACTTAGGTCTGCTATCTGCTGAAGTTTCTTCATTACCATCTTTTCCATCTAATACGTCCTGGCCACCATCTTTATCATATGACCTTGAACTTTCACTAGTTGTAGGTGTTGATCTAGGTGTCGTTTGAGCACTGTGATACTGTCAATAATAAGTAAAACATTTAAAAAAAATGGCAATTCAGATAACTGAAGGTACAAAGATTATAAATTTTGTATCCTGTGTTTTAAGGGTTTCATATTGAGGAAAATTTGCTACAAATGACAAAAATGATCAAATAAAATCAAAATTGTACCTGATCATCTTCAGGTTCACTATCATCACCAATATCAGTAGGCATTCTAGCTGTAGAGGGTAAACACTGATGACTAGTGCGACCGGCTGCCTGAGTCATAGAGTAGGACCTTGAAAATAGATCTTCTAATCTCTCTTTAGACGGGAAGACATCTTTAGCTAATAATATAATAGATAAGATATCTGCTGGCTGCAGTTCATTAGCACCACGACTGAAAAAAGAAATAAGTCAATTGAGAAACTTAGTCATTGAAATACGTGTACATATTTTTGTACATGATAGAATCATTGTTATATTACAACAGAGATTGTAAATACATTCTCCATTTCTAATGTGGAGCTAATAATCCAACTCATTTACAATACAAATCTATTGTCAGGTTACATCTGAATTAGAGTACGGAGCTAATGATATCAACTTACTTGTAATACAGAGCTAGTGAAGACAACTTACTTGGAATACAAAGCTAGTAACTTATTGTTGACTAGTAATAAAGCATGATGAGTTGGTATATTTTGTATTTTCTCTACTCCTTCCTCTAATAATTCTATACATTTCTCACTTAAAGCCTGATTAACATGCAGTCTTTCTACAGCCTGAAATATCAAGTCAATTCTGATGTGCCATGTAAAAAAGGTCAAATATAGTCAAATGAAATGAAATGAAATGAAGAGTTACGCCCTACTTTTCTGCAACTAATTGGCTAATGAAGATGTGCAACGCCATACAGTGTGCTATGATTGAAATTTAGCCCGAAATTTAATTTTTAACTGTCTAGGGATTTTTAAAATGCACAGCCTGTAGCGCATGGGCCTTCGTTTTATTGTCCTATCAGAACAATTTTTCCAAGTCATCTCGACTCATGCCAGGATTGAACCCTGAACCTTCTGGTTAGCAAGCCAGTGTCTAATTCACTAAACCCTTGCAGCCCGAGGTATATACAAGCAAAACTATTTATGCATATGCACATCAGCAGACAATTAAAGACATAAATAAGAGCAGTTCAAATAGAACAGATAATGTACACTATCAAAGAATAAATAACCAAACAGTGTAGTATAAAGTAAATAACATGAGAAAGTGGTATTACCTCCACAAGAAATGACTGTTCATCACAACACAATTTCATCCAAGTTTCTAACAATCTTCTTAAAAAATTCCATCTTTCTTTTTTATCTTCATATCTGCCAATTCTGTAATGATTATAGCAACAATTGATAGAAGGCAAATATAACTTGATGTACAGATAACATAAGTTTTTTCTGTATTTAGACATTTTTCTTTACCATGTATGTAGCAGAGATTCAAACCTACCAGTTGGTATTACAGAGACTGGGGGCCATAAGTATGTTCTATGGAGTATTTTTTCATGCAGAATATTATTTGAAATCAAAGAGGTGACCAAAATCAATAGCCATTTTCATGTTCTAGTTGCTAGATTGATTGACTATTGTTTTTTTGTTATTTCCAGGCAATTCCATGTATTTCTAATTTTCTGCACTATATTCCTTCAATATCCCAATAGTTGGTGCCTTATGCTCTAACATATTTCCCTCGTGCATTCTATATATTTAACAGTTATAACACGAATGTCTTACTCATCTGTTGCTGGGCCAAATAAAAAACCAATTAATCTTAAAAACATTTGAATTTTCTTCATTAATAATTCTTCAGTTTCTGATCCATCTCCATTAATAGCCACCAACAATAGATCATCCATCTAGAAAAAAAGTTTATAATTTGGATGATGATAGCTTTCACCAATGAATTCTCTATTTCATTGAAAGAAGTTGTTCCATTAAGTTGTCAGTATCTACACTAGTGCTGACATGATATATTGGTGAATCGATGTATCATAATACGACTTGCCACAATACATGTTTGTGATGTATGTGTGATGTGGATTCAATTATTACATGGGCCTGATTTTCTTTGTATTGGTATAGTAGGATTACACATGTAAGTAATAAATAGTTTTATCCCATATCGCGATATGTATTGTATAATGATAGGTTTTTATCACAATACGTATCATATCATGGTATGACTGCTTACCTGTTTGAATACAAATATAAATCCATTATCACAAGTTACAGAGGAACATGGATTTTTGGTTTGTTCTATAAGAAACCATTGTGATAATACCAGTGGTGAAAATATCTGCATGATAACATTTGGATCAACATAGTAAGCATCCAACCCATGATCTTCAGGCTGCAAAATAAATTCATAAACTTTCTTTATAGTAACTGACCATCTAAGTATTCTAATACAACAATAAAATGAAATGACTGAATCACTAAAGTCCTGGCTGTATGCTCTATCGCATATCCAATCGCGATATCGCCACGCAACTTGGCAATCTGACAGATACATGATTGCTTGCACTGATTTTCAGATCAATCCGACAGCACATACTGTATTTAATTGCCCCTATTGCTGCATCGAACTGCTACCAAGTGCCAACAGGTAGGGGAGGGGTCAAAAAGTAGAGGTGCCCAAAATATCTTAATAAGTTGTAGTCCTTATGACAGTATTCAAATATAGTCATATCATAAGATATGTTTACTACTATTTAGATTTGATTTGATGAATGTTTTCTTCACAATTCACCTGCAGTAAACCAATTTCGATCGCCTGTTCGTTTACAAAACGGGCAAAGTCGTCATCAAAATCAAGAAATCGAACATCGTTCATTCGATTAACAACCAACAAGCATTTCATTTTGATTTTTAGTCTTATGTTTTGATCATGATATCTAATTTAATCATCTTGTCTACTTTCGTTTTCCTATCACATGACTTCGTAGAGTTATGAATAGAATTCCAATCAAGGGAGGTAATCTTAGAGCATGCAAGTTGGAAACTTCCGGTTGCAAATTTGTATTGTTGTTATTGTTTTCATAAAAATGCTGATATCTCTATTTTCTCAGTAAAAGTCGTCATTTGATTTATTTCTTATAATAAATCGGTGTAGATCAAATAGCTTCAATGAATAGTTTGGCCATGAAGAAGGCTAGAGAAAGCTTTAATCCAATTCGAGTTATTATTCCAGAAGAAGAAGAGGTAAACAAACCGAAAGTAGAAAGTAGAATTATACATCTTGTTGTATTTTTATTTTACCATCACATTAATGATTTTTCCTTAGCCACCCATCTTAGGTTAACAACGTTTACACCGTATTTGTGACATTAGGAACATCTATGTTAGCTTTTGAGAAGGTTGACAAGCTCTATAGACCAAAGGTCTATACCAATGGCAATGTATAGGATTGTGTTCTGTTATGAGTACCTTGCTTAAGGAAAGGGATCGATCTCAGCAGGGAACTCCTCTACTCAACCTGCAATGTTGGAGATGAATTTAATGTATTATTTTCTGCTTGTTGTAGGTACCATTAAAGATAAGAATAAGAGATGTAAATCCACATATCGTATGTTCATTATGTGCTGGATATTTTATTGATGCAACCACTATAACAGAATGCTTACATACATGTAAGTTTATACATGTTTCTCACACATGATGGTCTTATCCTGTGGTAACTATTTGCAAATAAATAACTGTCCAGCAAGTCATGAAACCTAAATGCATGATCAATTTAATAATGAAGGCATTAATATTTTTATCTTTTTTGTTTATTGTATTTCAGTTTGTAAAAGTTGTATAGTAAAATATCTACAGAGTTCTAAGAAATGTCCACAATGTAGTGTCAAAGTACATGAATCTCAACCAGTGTTTTTTCTTCGGCCTGACCGCACATTACAAGATATAGTGTATAAACTTGTACCTCATTTATTTGAGAGTAAGTTTATTTTCTACAGTTAAACCCCTTGGAACTGCATTCTCTGTAAACCGAAGTCCCAACTTAACCAGCAGGTTCTTGGCTCTTGGCCTAATCACCATATAATCTGTAGAAAAAAACCAGTATCCCCTCTAAACCTCAATCTATACTAAGACATTTAATTCTTTGTACCTATTAACTACTTTATCTACAGATTGGTTATTTAGATAAAATTTTTATGCATACTTTTGTTATCCATATTTTAATTTAAAAATTAAGATGAAGAAAAAAAGAGAGAAGAATTTAACAGAACAAGGAATGCCAACCAAGAAACACAAGGTAGATCTTCCCCTCTAATAACTTTTCAAGATTAATCATATTCACAGTCTAGAAATATTATAACAAAACATAACACTGTTTCATGCTGTGCAATATTCAGACAACTTAATCTGTGATATTAATTTTCATTTCATTATTTATTTTATGTCATTATTTATCTCTTTTATTATTTATTTTGTTGTTTATTGAATTATTTATTTAATTATTTATTTAATAATAACAAAATCACACTGTTAAAGTAGTGCTCAATAATCAATTGTTGAGTGGTATTTCGGATTTAATATTTTTAATTATTTATTTTTTTACATATTTATTTTTTTTATTTGATTTAATTTTCTTTTTTTTTGACTTATAGTTTTTGACTCATTTAGAAATTTGATGTTATTTATCTATTTTAGGTTGTGAACCAGGAGGTTTAGCACCAAGATTATCTAGCATTATCAATAATCCACAAGGTCATCTTTATAAATATGATGAACAGATATGTTTATGTTTAGAAAGATACAGGTTTGTATATCTACTCATAAAACACATTTCATATAATAATAATGAATTGTCCTTTGAAAATCATATTGTTTAGACAATCTTCCAAGATAGGTTGAGCTATGACAATGTGTGAGATAAAAAACATAATTTAAATGATATATACCACATTAATCATATTATTAATTGTCAATTCTTTATATGATACATATGTTAGCAATTAGAATTTAAAAGTGGGCTCAAAAGAGTGAGGCATTGTCTAGCTCAATGATATTCTGAATTTAAATTTTTATGTATTTTATATATCCAGTCCACAGAAAATTCAACATAATGGTAGATGGATACAGTTACAACCATTAGAGAAGAAGTTTGTAAGATGTTCTATAAGAGTATTAGTATCTCATATCAAATCTATGTTACATAAAAAACTACCATTAACTAATAATATCAAGGTATTTCATTTTATTCTGTAATAAATACTTACATCTAAAGTAATGCTGGTCAGAAGTGCATGCAATGTTCAAATTCTCTTTTGGCAGACATGTTTTACCTATTCAGGGAAGGGAATTTTCAATTTTTCCAGATACTTTAGTTATAAAAATATTTTAACCAGATTTTTTTCTCTCATTTAAATATACGCCAGTTTAGAATGGGTAGGTTCAGCCATTTCTCTGAAGTGATCAAAATTAGTTTGGGATCTAACAGATCTATGTTAAAATGATGTTTATTAATTGTAGTTAGAAGTATTATGTGGAGATGAAGAAATGCAAGATGAAATGTCATTAAAACAGATATATTTAATGAACTGGTACACTAGAGTAAGTTTATAGAATTGATTTACACTATACATATAGTAGTAGTGACCTTACTGAGGAATAACACAAATACAATTATGATCTACAATAAAGCAAATATTCAATAATATTGGGGAAATATCAAGGCAATATGTGATTGTATCCATGATATACAGAAATTCCATGGTTCAATACTTTAATAAACCAAATTAGGATCAGAAGAGTACAACTTTAATTGTTTTTTAACTAAAATTGTGTTAACTTGTTTTATTGACTTAAAGCCAAACCTTACTACGTATGTATCAGTTATGTTTAATTTTAATTCAGGAAACACCAATGATATTATTCTACCGTTTTAAAGATTCTGAGACAGCATCAAGTTATGATTTTACCTGATTTTTGTGAATGGTTAATTGATTGTTTATTTTCATCTGACATTTCAAATAGGGCAAATTTGTATAATACATAATCAAACATTGTGAACAAAACAAAATTAACACAATGGTGAATCATTATTGAAATAATAGATATCAACTGATGTGCAATATTATGTGTGATCTCTCAAGAAAGACAATACACTGGTCTTCTATATAATTCCACTGCCTGCTCATTACAAGTGACTTAATACAATGGACATATCGTTGAAGTGGAATTCTAATTGATTCTTTATGAGATTGTGAAGCTATTCTGATCTATGAATCTATTCTCCCAAAAGATGATGCTTTTGTTACAATACTTTCTGTTGGTTAATATATCCCATAAAGTGGTAATGCAGACAATAGAAGTTATTTGTAAATTTAAAAACTCTAGGTGTGAATATTTTCTGACTATATAACTGTTTTATTATGTTATTAGTTTATCATAATTAACAATTTTAACAAGGAATATAATAAAACTATTGTTAGTGTAAAATATATCTTATCATGAAATATTATAATGTAGCTTATTATAAATACATGTAATAATATAATACATGAAGTAAGTTGATTATTTAACTATATTAACAAGGATCTGTTTTTGAACTAATAATTTTTTGTCTTTATTGTATAATATTTGTATATCACCTGTTATATGAATTAAAATGTTAACTTGTTCAAGAAACTTCTGTATTTAACCTGTTGTCTTTAAATTGTAGTTTTATACGCCCACATTGAAATGTGGACGTATAATGCCATCGCCCCTCTCCGTCGACAATTCTTGTGAACACAATAGAGACTACAGTTTTCAAATGATTTTAATGAAACTTTATGTGATAATGTATATGAATGAGATCTTGGTCAAGGTTGAATTTGACGATATTTTGTTGAACGGTTTTTGACTTATTGCCCTTCACTTTGGAAAAACGTGCGAAATTTCGTGAAATATTTTGTAGAAAAATCCAGCATATCGCCTGTTTTATCATTTTTGACAGCTGCCAGTGGGTGATATTACCTTGCCTGGCAGGCTACCAATTATTATTATGTTAATTGAAATATCAGATTCATAATAGTAATGATATCATTGGACTGATCTTGTTGATAAAATAATTACAGGCATAGGCACATATCACTTTGCAATGGAATTTTTTAAATAAAAGGCATTGCCAAATCTTATTTTTCTTCCTATTAAAGGAAACCAGCAAGTATCTCACTCTTATCACTGGAATATAAAATATGAATTAAAACTTTCAGAGTGTAGACAACACTTCAGCCAACAGTTAATACAACAATCATTTCCAGAACAAAAATTTGAAGAAAAAAAGCTGCTATAATGATGTATTTTTTATTAACAAAACAGCTAATATTTCTACCCTATATATACATAATATAACATTATTATAAAAACACATTGTATAGAAAATGTAAAATTACATACATCTCTTATATCAATAATAAAACCTCATGGACATACTGGTCTTATTGATAGAAATTCATTTTTTAATATATGTTTCTTTAGTGTATCTACAAACAATAAATTATATTTGGAAAAAAAATTAGACAATCATTTCTTTGTTTCTCTAATTAATTCTAAGTGGATAATTAAAAAAAATAACGTGTTTAAGGTAAAGAAAATAACCATAGAATAAGAAAAGAATATTACGTTGAAATTTTGAAATGAATTCTTGAAGATTACTATTTATTTCAAAGATGCACTCATGTTTAATGAATTTATTTGCCACTTGCACGTAATAAATCATTACATTGCCTAGCGAAACAAAAACAAAAATTTATTTAAAAGAAAACACAAATATGTTGTAAATATTCGTTATTCATATCAATAAAAATTTACTTAGCACTAATGATGATACAAATACAATGTTAATGGCAAGTAAATCTGTCCATGATTACCTATTTGTAATAATTTCAACAATTCATTTTATACCCTTGGATGCCCTTTTGGTTTTGATACTATGCCCTTTGTATGTGTGTACAATTTAACAAATGCCCTCTTAAAATTCAAATAAAAATTGAAACTGTTTTTAAAATCTTACAAAGACACACAATGAATTTTCTTTACAATTTAATCCTGAGTTTTGTTGCCCACACAAAAAATGACATTTGAAAACATTTTGAAACAATAAATCCTGATCATTTGATTATTCACTTCAGTTTTATAATTGTGTGTTTTAGCATAAAAAGTGTATGTAATTTTTATTTTACACATCTGTAAAACCATTAAAACATCATGTAAACCTAATAATCTTTATTCACAGATAATCCATCAACGGTTCTGAAGAATTGCAAAATGACATCTAGTCCTTGATATTTGCAATGGATGCTGATTTCTTTTCTAACCTATAAGATTTATCAAAACATGAAAGTGATTTTAAACCTCATGTTTCGTTAAATGCAACAAAATTATCAAGATATTAGTTTTGTCAGAGTATTGTAATTAGATTTTGCATGACAAGAATATGAAACAGTTATCTCAAGGGCTTGATGTTGAAAACCTACTCTCAATCCTTCAGGACCAAAAATAATTTCATTCTTAGATCATTTCATTGCAAGTATTAACATTATTGCTATTATTACTACATAATTCCTGTATCATTGAATGGAAGCCACATTAATACCTTCATTTCATCTCCTGATAAATAAACTAAACTTTTAAATAGTTCCATGAGAGTATTTTGAAAATTGATGACTATCAACTAGTCTCTGGTATAATCCTCTAGTGTACAATAGATTTTCATCCATCATCTGAGCAAATAGAAACTGTTAGAGGCCAGATATTAAAGGGATTGTAAAGAGGTTTTCTAAACTTTTGATGTGACACTGATAGCAAATAATTTGCACTCTTCCAAATTTCAGCAGGATGTCTGTAGTTCCTGCTATTCCACTTAAATTAAGTGTTATGCTTTATCACATAAGGTCCTTTGCAATTACTGACGTCATCAAACACTTAGAATTAGCGGAATTGCAGAAACCACAGACTTTTGCTTGAAGATTGAAGATGTTATCAGTGTCCTTGATACACAAAAATCCATTGAAGTCAGCAAGTTTCAGACTAGCTTTACAGCAGAAATGCAGCATTGCTTTTAAAAACTTAATCTGCATTTGACATTTGATTGGATGTAACCCTGTTAATTATTATTTAATATTTATAAATAAATTGAGCAGTAATTAAGAATGTCGACCCTATGTCATAAACTTGTAATCTGAGGTCTATAGTGTAGTAATAATGGAGTATCCTGAAATAAAAACATGAAATTCTTCTTCATATACAATTATATTAACTTCAGTAAAATTAGTCCAAACTATCTTTATTTGATATTTGGTGAAAAGGGTGTAAATCTGAACACACTAAAACAGTTTTGAACAAGGGAAGAGGTGATAACATATACAACTTTTTCAAATAAAGACTAGACTGGTTGTCACAAGAATGCAACTTTACTTTCTAAGTGAGATAAACGATTCATCAAAATATTTGATATGAATTGTTCTCTCTGGACTTTTCATCAGCAAGAGTGAAATAAAGGCTGATCAGATCACAAGAAAAAATTTCAAATAGGCCCATAAAACTAATATACAGATACATACCTTACTTCTCCATCTTGTGACTTGTACAAATTTTAACGTGTGATCTTTACCTAATATTTCTTCATTGCATAAAATATCAACCTGCAACAATTAAATTACAGATTCTCATCAAATTTGAGACAATTACAAAAATATTTTTATGATGTCTTCATTTTACCTTTGAACATCACATTTTTCTACTAGAGAATTTAAGAATTGGTTGGTCATTACTATGAACTCAGTCACCATGTTGTCAATTTTCTGGTTAAGTCCAGAAGAAAGTTTGACAATAACATTCCTCTTGTAAAATAAGTCTTCAGTTGTGTAGAAAGGCTAAACATACTCTCAGAATAGAAGGATTTGATAATCAAAAATTTCTTTCATAAAAATGAGCATGCAGCTTGATTTATGGCAGAACAGAGAAAGCAGGTTGTATGGGCAAGGTAGTCTCTTCAATTGGTATTACTACTAAGAGGAAACTAGGAAACTCCTGAACAGCAAACTAGTATCTTACTCACGAGCCTACAACAGTTTCTGATTAAGATTAAAGTGAAATGTGTCAACTTACATCTTTGTATTTTGATTGATTATTGTATATTTTTAAAGCTATGAACTTTTTTAACTGTGATATTGTTGCATGAGATGATAAGCGTAAAAATTTTCTTTTTAAAGTTTTTAATTGTCCTTTACACTCTAAACACACATTAACTTGTTCATCACTTCTATGATAGTCTTTATCTTCATTTGATTGAGGTTCAGTATTATTACTGCTTGGTTCATCTACAATATAACACAATGATAGTGAAGCATGAATTTTATTATAAATTTGGACTGACAGTCATATTCCATACGTTTATGATGCTTCTCATGTCTATGGCTACTATAATTCTAGAAAAACTTTCAACATATCCAAAAACATTCAGCTTGAATTCTTTTTGTTGTAGATGCATTGATCTAAGACAGGCAATCAGAATGGCATAAGCAGAAACTATACATGATCTAGGAAAATTATTTTCAATGCCATTAGTTTTGCAAATGTTATTCAAGAACAAAACCATCCCTTTACAACACATATGGAACTGAAGAATAGAATATACCATTTAGTACCTCTTGATTCAAGGACAAATATACTTACTTGATTCTGTTGTATTATTTTGTGGAAATGGAATTCCTTTCTTTTTACAAAACTCTACCTGTCTTTTATATTCCTCTATAAAAATAAATATGGAATTTAAACTATTGAAGACAAACATACAAACAAATGATAGAAATGTTTCTATACATTTATATAGGGTAGTGCTATAGAGGAACTTTTCTAATTTTTAGACATCAGGTTTACCTCTATATCAATAAAGTGATAAAGTAGATTATCATGACTTACTTTCTTGTAAATTAGGAACTAATTTGTAAACAATATCTTGCATGGTTCTATCAAAACTATGAAAAAAGAAGAAATCAATAAATAAATTAAAATTAAAACTAAATATTGTCACATTGGATGAATATATGTAAATAGTCTTCAGAAGTATTACAATTGTACAAAAATCACATAATATCTCAAACTAGAAAGTTCACTTATATTTCTATAGATGTCTTTTGTAAATATGGCAGTGTTTCAAAAGTGGATAATTCTGGAAACACATGGATTTGAAGGTTCAAATTTCAATGGTGAGCTGTGGACACTATTACTGATTGGCTTAGCTAAAAAAAAAATTTTTTTTTATGTGACTAAGGTAAGGTTAGACAGTTAATTTGGCTTAAAAGGGTCAGTTGTGTGTACTTGAAGCTCCAAAACATTCCACTGATTATTAACATACCCCAAGCCTAAAAACTTATTTGCTTTTGTTCAAATCATTGTATTAATATAGTCCAGAAAAATGCCTGTGCATAACCAGACATTATATAAGTAGTGATGAATACAATGTAACTCTGACTGTTAACATTTAAGTTTTGAATTATATCATGCATACATAAATATATTTGCACTACCACATCTTTACAAGACATCCTGAACATCTTCAAATCTGAATATTGTAAATTAAGAATCTATAGAAATGGTCATTAAAATACCTGATATAGTTTAAAGGATAACTCTGATGTATAACCTCCTTGCATTTGGGACATGTTGTATTTTCTTCTAGAAATTTGACAATACAGCTTTTACAAACTGCAATATAAAAGTTAATCAGATAAAACATTGAGAAAAGCATGGAATAAATTTGGTAACTGATTAGAAAAATATTGTATACATGTATTATATTTGAATGTCACATCCTTGCATATTGCCACAGACTGGACATGTTGCCAACAAAGCAGCCATTTTATGTGTGATCATTTAGTTGAATTTTTATACTTCATAGAATATACCATATGTCAAAGAGTTAATACCTTTGATGAAATGAGAGCCTAAAATACATGTACTTACAAGTATGTAAACATTCTGTTATTGTGGTAGCATCAATCAAATATCCTTTACATAAAGAACATGTTATTTCTGCATTGACAGTCCGTAATCTTATTTTACGTTCCATCATTTTGTGCTAAAATTTAACCACATCTGTAAAAAATTGTAAAACATTTAATTAACTAACTGCTGAATACACAATAAAGGAACAAGTTTGTTATATTGGGGGTTGAATGTGTACAAATAGCCTTCAGAAGTACTAGAAATGTTTAAAAATGGTCTAATTCTTCCAAATATACCTCAAACTAGGAATTTCACTATCTATTTTTATAGTGTCTTTCTATTCAATACAGAGTCTTAAGAAAAGGCGTGTTGCCTTTTTTTACTTTCTAGCGCAGATTATTCGAGCTGTGAACACTATTACTGACTAGATAAGCTAAAGAATTCCCTTTATGCTTGGTCAAATGAATAACGAATCTGACCCTTTAAATTCAGATGTTCTTAAATCTGGTTTAAGCTAAAAATTTTGATTTTATTTTGATCTTAATATCCACAAGTCATGCAGAAATTAGTTAAGAAACTTGTAAGGCCATCTGTACACAATGATGTCTGAGAATCAAATACAATATATTTTCAAGGCATTGAATCTCTCCCAAAAGGAAATGCTTAGTAATTTAATATGGTTTAATAACTGCCTAATCATTTCATGTCAGTTTGTCACAACACTGTTGTATGCTTGCAACTGAGAGGTACTTGCCTTAAGTACTGCACACTAGTATAAACAATAATTAATAAATTAGCCTAGTTTTTGTAGGAAGCCTATGATAGCTAAGTTAAATAGAAAGTGAAATAAGAGTAGCTTGGTAGCTCTTATTTCACTTTCTACTTAACTTAGACGTTATTGACTTAAAGAGGTTTTCTAATTTTGAATGTGTATCTGGGACACTGAAAGCATCAATTTTCACCATTCCAATTTGTAATCAGACGTTTGTGGTTGCTGCAATTCTTCCAAAAACTACTCTGACTACACTGAGCTTTGAATTGATATTTTTTTGTCACTTTATAAATATTCCACTTTTCAATTGTATACCATTTGTCTAAGAATGTCTTGGGGTCAATAGAAATATAAGGTTCAGTATTTTTACTTTTAAAATAGACAGACTTTCCTCAGGTGACAAAAAATTCATGTGAAAATGACTCACTTTTTGGACTGAAAATTCCCCTATGTAAAATCACGTTTACAAATAATAAATTTTCCAGTACCGGTACCGGTAGTTCAAATTTTCAATTCAATCAAAAATGATTGGCAAAATTCAATTCAGAAATCATTGTAGATAGAGAGTATGTGTTCGATGACGCCACTAATCGCAAAAGGCCTATGTGATTAAGCTTATTTTGCATCACCAAACTCTTAGTTTAAGACGAATTGCAGGAATCACTGACATCTGATCGAGTGTATCATATAGTGCATGTTATTTGTGTTTTTTTTCAAGAAATAAATAAGGAACTGGATGACACAACTATGAATTCTTTGGATTTCAAGAGAATGATTATTGATTACACATTGATTCGCTACAGTAATGTTGATAAACCTACAAGATCAAGGTCCATTATCTGCTCAAAGTCATTTGACTGGAGACAGTGTTGTAAGTAGAGTCATATCTCATTTGTTTTGTTGACATTTTCAACAATAACTTTCTGTGTCTGGCCAATCTCTATGAGAACCCAAACCCCAATTGTTGATACATCTAACATAAAATATCATACTTACTTAAAATCAATTATAAAATTTACATAAAATGGAAGAAATTATTCAAGAATTGGAATTTCCAACAAAATAAAATCTCGACTGCAAATCACATTCAATGACAGCCGCCATGTTTGCTACATTATCAATAATGGAAGGCTTTGATTGGTTAAAATTAACTCCACGATAAATTAGATTTATCTCCCTTATACCACTGAGCAGGTGCCCCTTCATTACCTTCAACGGGAAAATCAGAATGCGTATAAATGCAATTGTTTCTCCGTCACAAATTTGATTTTGCTGAAAATTGGTGATTTGTAGATTAAAGTGGGATTCTTCCATCACCAATTATAAAAATTCGAGTTTGGCGCGAATTTATATTATATCATAAAGTATTTATGATGAGGCTAGACTCTGTTTCCTGAACAGAACAGAGGAACATTTTTTCATTGGATTGGCTGGTATATCAAGTTTTACAGTTTATTTTCAGTTTCCAATATTCAATTCATGGTATCTTGTAAGCCATATGGGGTCCAGGGCAATTTACAACATACTTTACAATGGAAGGGAACATCTGGCATAATTATAGATAGGCCTATAGTGATATGTATGCTTTGCCATGTTCATTGTGGTTTTGGTAGTGATTAAATTAATGCCGTATGACGTAATTAAACATGTTTATTTACAATAATATGTATAACCATAATATTTATATATACAAATAGTTCAACACACGTAATAAATAATAATTGTCAAATTATTTCAAAACTTTATTTCTTGTATGATTCAAACCAAATAGCTCTACCTGTGATTTTTCTTTTGCAACTTCAGCTATAGCTGTGTCTTTTGATGGGAGATTCGCAGGCCAAGAAACACGCCTATTATATGGCGATGTTTGCCATTAATATTTTCTGGTATCGTACTTTTTTGAGAACTTTATCCCCACACTGACGTATTTATCGCATATATAGCCTTAAGATTTTAATCGTGCAATTGGTTCTGTTACACGAATGACAGTGATCATGAATACTGAACGCAACTCATTATTTATGTCTTATGAAAAAGTGACTTTCTTGGCATGAAACCTTACTTGAAACATTGGTCGATGGAGTTATAGCATGATATACATTCAAGATCAAAGGCGATAATTCAAAGCTTCTCAACGCATCTAGCGCAGTCGACATAAGATATAACATTCATCAACTACGAGTAACTGCGATCTATTACGGTCAACTTGATCAATTAGGGTTATTTTTTTTCTCAGTTAATTCAATATTTATATACATATACTAAATAAATTATAACAATTATTATTCGATTTACACATAATAAATAAATATAACAATTATTATAGAAATATTTCTGCAATAACAAAATATTTTCAAAGTAGTGCTTGATACATCGATTGTAGAGGTATTAAAGGTATTTAAATATTAAAGTTCTGTTATATTATTTCTATATTGCTCTACAATTGATGTATTGAGCGAGCGATCACTGAAAATATTTAGTTATTGTAACAATAATTATATAATATAATATTGCTCAGACTAAAAACACATTCAAACGTACTACATATTATATCAATGAAAACATTCTCTTGTCTTGTATTTACATACCATATATGACGAAATATACTAAAGGGATTCAGTCATCTAAATATCTGCTTTACCAGCCGTTAGAATCAGCATCCATATTACTTTTCGGCATTAAAATCTGATTGACAGTTCTCATGCACTTCAACAAAAAAGGTACCACCGAAAGTTACGCCGTGCCAGTTAGATTGTCGTCACTTTCCGGGATGTTATTGGCCTTTTAATGTGCAGCTATGATGGATATTATGCTAAAATATCAAGTTGTTTTGGCATAAATAAAGCATATAACATTTATGTATTTTCTGTCAAAAAGTAACAAGAAATATACGTAAGTTTTAATTAAAAATCTTTTAAGCATAGCTTGTCTTAGTTAGCAGGTAGGCAGGTCGTGTAAGTGGTAATTCGATTCTTTTCATATCAAAAATTGAGTCGATTCTAGGTGTGCTATGATATCTTTATCTGGCCGTATTATACTAAAATATATAATGCTACTGTGACATAGTGAAAGAGGTTATACTTGGAAAAAAGTATTCGTATTGATACATCCATTAACAATGGTTTTATGAGATATCTATAAAACTCTTCAAAAATTAAATCAAAACATTCTTCAAAATGATTCATACCTAAAATATGACTGGTTAAATCTTGAAGATTTATACTTTTCTATTTGCATCGCAGGCAAAATAGTTCTTGAAAGATTAGTGTTTATTTTAGATTACCTGGCATATATCCATTATAACATTTACTGTCAATAATGAGATAATAAATATTCGAAATAGTTTACATATTTATGGTATTTGTCCACCTGTTTTAAGGCTTCATGTAACTAATGAACATACATAAAATAAACAGATACAATCAGAACATTGCGAAAGTAATGGATAAAAATGTTGGAAAATTGAGAAACCCAATGTCTGACGCTAATGCCAACGTAGAATATACATGTTCATGTCCTTAATTGGACTTACTTTTGCTCTTATCGTGTTCATTAATTGAATTAACCGCATACCTAGGTTAAAACTAAACAAATTATGATGAAATAATACCCCCTGGAAATACATCAAATATCAGGGTCGTTATCCAATCTCATTAAAGGCGAGCATCCTCCTAACAAACTTAATATATCAGCATATATAATCCAACAATACAAGTAAAATCAATCGCTAGTTGTATCTGGAAATCTGTCTAAATAGTCAACAATACATAAAATAACCCCATAACAGTTACGATATAACGCAGAAATAACTGATATTCTTTAGAGAAAAAAATTTTTTTTTAATCCATCCTAGATATACTCGTTTCTTAAAACCTCAATCTAATCAAGGCAATAACATTACTTAGGTTGGTGTAGACCAATCATCAAGCCCTTACGAATTCATATCATATTTAACACTTATATAAGTTATACAGTAAAAATGTTCGTGACTACAAAAGAAGAATAATCCTACAAATTTCCCGCTCTTCTCAGATTGATTTCAACAACGATGTCAATAACACTACTTAATATATCTTTCATCATTTTAACATCTACAGCGCAAGATACGTGTATATACACTTGTTTATGTCCTGGTTTATGTTGAATAAACTGATCTTTGATATATTTCAAACAGGCTTCTGGAGTATTCTCCCCTGAAAAAACAACACGTTAAATGTAACAGTCTGGAAAGTTATAAAAAACTTGCTGGTCAAAATATAACGAATACATTTCATATATGTTTATGATTGCTTCTTTTCTTTTTTTCTTCGGTTGGTGTGTGGATGATAAAGTTTTTGCTTGAATTTCAGTTTCGAGGAAAAATTTATGCCTATGAAACTTCAATACCACATAACTTAATATTGCATGAACAGTCAGTACACATGCACTTAAGGTCATATGGTACTTTCTGTAACGTGTACATCAAGCATACAGGCACATGGTACTTTCTGTTTACATACATCCAACATAAATGTACAATGCTATGTGGTACTGTTTATGTACATCCAGCATACTGATTATTGCACAAGGCTATATGGTACTTTCTGTAACATGTACATCAAGCATACAGATACATTGTACTTTCTGTTTACATACATCCAGCATAAATCTACAAGGCTATATGGTACTGTTTATGTACATCCAGCATACAGACACATGGCTATATATATGACCTTTTTGTTACATGTACATTCACAAAACATGCACAAGGCTATACGGCATTCAGCATACGTGCACAAGGTCATATGGTATTTTCTGTTATATGTACATTCAGAATACATCCACAAGGCTATATAATGATCAGGCACAATAAGCTAAGTTCAGATAGTTTGACATATACCAGAAGAGTAAATACATGTAATATCTTATTTCTAATCTTACCTTTATATTTAGGGAAACATGTTTTAATACTTAATTTCTTTACTTTCTGTACAAATAAATCTTTCTTATTAAGAAATAGTATCATATCGGTCTTCTCTAAATAATGATTATGAGAAACTTCATGAAATGCCTGTAAGCTGTCTTGTAAACAATTCTGAAATGAGAAATTCAGTTCAGTATTATGATAGAATATGGCGTCTCTTATACCTCCGGTAAAATGAGAAATATGAACGGTATACGAGGTCGTTTTTTTCCATACTTAAAATTAGAAATGATCAATGAGGTGGTTTTTTTACCTATAATAGGAAATTATAGATGTAGTCTCAAATGAATTTCGAAATAACTTTTATATTTTGTTGAATTACCTCCTTTGAGATATAGCTCATTAACATCTTTAAAAAAAAGTCGGGAATATCGTTGTGTGCAATAGAATATATCTTTATAGGACAATGAATCGTAAGGATAAGTCGTTTACTTCAAGTCAATATAGTATAGTATAGCTTTATAGTATTTAAGGCCGTTTATCACAGCTGAAATAAGATATATAGCTCTATATTATAATGCTATATAAGGTCGTTTATCACATCTGAAATAAGATATGAAGCTCTATATCATAATGCTATATAAGGTCGTTTATCATATCTGATATAAGATATAAAGTTCTATATAAGGTCGTTTATCACATCTGAAATAAGATATGAAGCTCTATATCATAACGCTATATAAGGTCATTTACCACATCTGTAATAAGATATAAAGCTCTATATTACAATGTTATACGAGATCATTTACCACATCCGAAATGAGATATCTAGCTCTATATTATAATGGTATATAAGGTCATTTACCACATCTGAAATGAGATATTAAGCTCTATAGATAAGGTCGTTTACCACTTCCACATCTGAAAAAAGATATGAAGCTCTAAATTATAATGGTATATAAGGTCAATTACCATATCATCTGAAATAAGATATGGAGCTTTGTATTACAATGGTATATGGGATGGTTTATCACATCTGAAATAGGATATGTAGCTCTATATTATAATGCTATACAAGGTCGTTTATCACATCTGAAATATGATATGTAGCTCTATATTATAATGCTATATAAGGTCGTTTATCTAATCTGAAATAGGATATGCAGCTCTATATTATAATGATATATAAGGTCGTTTAACACATCTGAAATGAGATATTAAGCTCTATATTATAATGGTATAAGGTCAGTTACCACTACTGAAATCGGATATGTAACCTTATAAAGATCATAATAGTAATAATCAATTGCCACATTTGAATTATGAAACATTGTTCTAATATTATATCATAATATTATAAAAAAAATAACTCCATTATATTCGTTTACTTGTATTGATTTAACTCCATATAATAGCATAGGAGGTCATTTACCTAGTCTTAAAAACGAAACACGGTTACTCAATGTAATAACGATATATGATAAAAACTGGATTGTTCTCAAATTGTAAATAGTCTAAATAGATAAAATGAAGCGACAAGAGTTAATCAGGTGATTAAACTTTATATAAAAAGAAAAGAGGTGGGTTGTACTTTTTCAATCTCATAAACAATATATTTCCTTCTAGAATGTCTCATATTTTTTACAATAATTAGTTCACTCGAAACATAATTTCTATTTAAAAATCTATTACCATGTCTTCCCACACAGGCAGTTGTAAAAAATGAATTTTATTAGTGCAGAAGATCGCATTTATTTCTGACAAATTATATAATAAAAGTTGCCTTATGGTATATATAACCGAATGCCATAAAATTAATTAGTTCTCAAGATCTCCAGTTGATTTCTATATAAAATTGTCTATTTCCAGCTGTCATCATTAAGTAGTAGGGAAAAAGTCAAGATATTTGGCATCATTGAATATTTCTTTTGAAAAAGATTTTTTTTTATTTTGAATAATGTTACATAATAATATGATGGCTTGAAACTATATTCATTCGGGAACTGTAACATTAGGAAGAATTAACATCTTTACAGATAAAAAACATGAACATCTTTACAGCTAAAACAAATGGACATCAATATAGATAAAACACATGAACATCTTTACAGATAAAACACATGAACATCTTTACAGATAAAACACATGAACATCTTTACAGATAAAACACATGAGCATCAATACAGATAAAACACATGAGCATCTTTACAGATAAAACACATGAACATCTTTACAGATAAAACACATGGGCATCAATACAGATAAAACACATGAGCATCTTTACCGATAAAACACATGAACATCTTTACAGATAAAACACATGAACATCTTTACAGATAAAACACATGAACATCTTTACTGATAAAACACATGGGCATCTTTACAGATAAAACACATGAATATCTTTACAGATAAAACACATGAACATCTTTACTGATAAAACACATGGGCATCAATACAGATAAAACACATGAGCATCTTTAGAGATAAAACACATGAACATCTTTACAGGTCAAACATCTATTAGGTTATAACATCCCTGGTCCAAAGTCCAAGGCCTGGTGGAGACTTGAGACTGGAAGCTAAACACAAAATGACTCCAAAACTAGAATTATTTCTTCAGTAAGGTTTAACTGCTTTTTATCGAACTCAAATCTTTTATTTGTTCAAACTTAAGCATTCCTGTCCTGCAGTCCTGATTCGAATCATCATTAATGAATTGTCACAGATAAAGAATTTATCTAGAGGGCCCCTAAGAGTATTTCTGTGTTTGGAAGTTGGTCACAACAGTTGATAACGCCTATGAAATTGGTCCTAATATACCTCCTAGCATAAACCACATTTGAGGGATTTATATTGTTTGACAATGATTTTTCGACATTCACCTATTACTATGCTGGCGCCGTACGATAATTATCTACTTACCATGGTTGTATCTTCTTCTAAAACTTCATCATAACCACTCAGTGGTACAAAGAACATAACAGCTGTCACTGCTTCAAAGAAATGAATCCATTTCTTTCTTAAACTTTTCTGTCCCGCTACGTCAATTACCCTGAAATATTGTTACGGTAATTGTGACTAACCAAATTCATTTAAGTAATGTGACTGTCAAGCAAGACCTTCTCAGTCCAAACATTTAAAATCAGTTGCACGTCAGCAGTGCACGTTTCTCCATGCATATAATTATCACTACATGCATTGGGTTCATTTTGTCTCTTGCCGTTATAAAGAGACACGACTAGGTTTTTTTCTCTGGTCGTTTAAGAATATCGTGCGAACTAAAATTCTCAGAAAATGGGAGGTAGCACGACTGAATGTGGTCAATGTATATCATTAAAAGGAAGTGACAACTAATGGACAATATTTAATCCCCCACTAGGAATCTTACCTGTAAATAAGATTGTCTATTTCAAACGTATTCTCCATCACACCCAATGTTGGTTGACGAATATATAATATATCTTGTACTGTTGGTACAAAATTCTTCTTAGTTATTCTATCAATACTCTCTAGAAAACTGAAATATAGCACACCACAAGATTTAAATAAACACTAAAATATAACAATAATATTCTATACAAAATAATTTTAATTCATTGGTAGTTCATGAATTGACTGAACGGAATTGTTTTTTTTACCTTGCCAGACATTTAATTGCATAAATGTTTAAGTTTTGGGAATGCTAAGGTCAAAGCTTACCTATCTACGAATACGTGTATATATAATGCAATTATCAGAATGGATCAAAAAGTGCAAAGAATGGCACTGTTTCTATGTGTGTGTTAAATACCGAAATTACTCACTATTCTTCGCTATGTGTTAGTTTTTCTGGACTAAATTTATGTCTTGAGGCATAACTACACTGAACACCAGCATCACTCCAGATTTGTAGTATCATTTCAGTATTAGGTCTAAGATAAGGTGTTGATAATTTTAATTTCGCCATCGTTGGAGATAAATCTGCATTTTTACGGTTTTGTTGAGCCTTTAATGCGGCTTCTTCGTCTTCCGCCATTTTGCTAAGTATCATTTTCATAGACACTCTGGGATGTTTTCCTGATAGTTCTATACCATGTTGCTGAAACAAAGGTTATGGCCGCATGAGGTCAATGTAAACTTTATGATTGTTGAGACAAGGTTGTCTTACTGTATCATCTGCGTTAAAAGGTCTAAAGCATAACTTTGGAGAATATCGCTGTCGACATGAAAATGTGAATATCAGATCGTAAATCTGAAATTATAACCCTGTAGCATCTCACGAAATGTGCAATACTTTCGTCCAAATTACTTCCAATATACCACCATTGTTTTGAACTGAAAAGGAAACCCCTTCTCCTCAGAACTACTGACCTTCACACCTGTGAACTAGCACTCCTTATCAGTGAAGGCTTACAAGAAATGAGTTGCTATTTATAGTCATCTGAATTGTCCCTAGGACAAAATAATCATAATTATTCAAACAAATGTGCCATTGTCTCTAGGCTAATCATACTTCACCAGGAATAAATTCGACATTTAATCAAATCAAATTTATAAATGTGTAATTTTACATAGTATATTATAATACTTGTAACGTAGTATAATTGTCCAAATATTTGTATCTCACCAAATAAAGTTCAATTTCATTATTTGTTAGCTTGATGAGCAGCACGTTCATGAGAGAAAACTGTCGGTGTTAAGATCCCAAAAGCGGATACGCTGTGGAGGAGCCATTATTATGTAAGCTCCAAAGGAGGGTCTGTGGGTATATCCAGGTATATTATCTCTTTTTAAAATGTTAAATTGAATTACCTCGGTTTCTTCTTTTTCAAATTTAATACCCAGAATTTCCATCTGTTCAAGTATAAGAACCAAACCCTCTGTTACATTTTTCAGAATTTGCTCGGTAAAAATTTCTCTTTCTGATTCCGGGAAGCCATTACCATAATGTAGTTGAAGTTGTTTTATGAACGTACTTTTACCCGAACCAGCACCACCTGAAGTAACAATAATAGAAAATTGAAGTTCTGTCATACAAAATGTATGAAGCTTTCAGTAATATTCAGATTGAGTATGATTCTTCTAGTTTAGCCGAATAATGTGGATGACCGTCTAATTTCTAGCTGGAGATCTCGATTTTGAAAATGTAATTCTCCAGCGTAGACAATGTCACCATGCCAAGCTTGATATATTTTAGTAACTGCTGTCGTGTAGACAAACATAATCCGATCTAACTATTCTTTATTGCATTTTGTTAGAAGCAGCCCGCCTTGTTAGTTATTTTCGGTTCTTAGGTGGTGGTAGCGTACGAGAGTCTTAAATAATTGGAGGGAGCCGCGGTGGCTCAGTGAGTTAGACGCTTGCTCGCTAACCTGAAGGTCCAGGGTTCAATCCCGACATAGGTCGAGATAATACCTTCGGATTTTTCAACCCGGTTTCCCCCTGTCAGTGATGCAGGTAAGAGGGGCTGACATGGAAAAAGCGTCTAGTCTTTCGGATGGGACAATAAACCGAGGCCCTGTGTGCTACAGGCTGATCACGTTAAAGATACCTCGACAGTTGGAAATCGAAAAAGAGGTTAATGCCGCTGTCCTGGCAAAATTTCCCTCATGGCACCCTGCATGGCGTTGCCCGTCTTCATTAGCCCACAAGGTGCAGAAGAATAGGACGTAAAACTCCAGTCATTTCATTTCATTTTGAATAATTGGAAATTGATTATATGCAAATATCAGCAAGCTACAATGTGAACTTGTCTATTTGGAATACTTATTTTAATATTTTGAAATAAAAAGTAATCTGGTATCAGTGGCCTTTCTTGGAAACATCAATTGAGGGGGCCGTGCAGGGTCTTTAGAAATGATCGTATCGCCGTCATTTACAGCTATATACATCAAGTTCAGCAAGGCGCAAACATTGCCGTACATAGCAAAACGGCTGTATTTTGAAACAAGTTGCAGGAACAGCGATATCTGAATTTCATCTCTCAGCTAACTCTTAACTCTCAATGTAAAATAATAATGATAAGTAGTTGTCAAGCAGGTGAGCGAGTAAATTAGTAAAGTAGTTTTTTTCATACACGAGTATTAGACCTACATATTGATGGAGAAGTCACGTGTTTTCATATTACCTAAGAGTAATAACTGGACTTCTTTCTGTTTCTTTTCCCGATCTTCATCTATTTGATGATCTATTGACCTACTTCTAGCCAAGGCTGCTCGACCTCCTTTACTCATATTAGACAGGGAAAAAGTCTGAAATATACAAAAACAGGTTCAGTTTATATTATTGCTTATAAAGTGGATCTAGAAATCCTTGAATCCTTTACGTCTTAAAAAACAGTCTAAAAAGAACGCAAATTATAATTCATTTTTTGTGATTGCGCGTTCGATCTCGCAGTTTTCATCCACGTAGTTATTTACCATGTAGTGTAAATCTATGGTTAGAACTCACATTATGTTTTTACCTTGGGGTGGGTCGGGGGAGTGAAGGATAGTTCCCAAATTAATTTTTTTGTATTGGCCGGATATCAATAGCATTGACCATATTTGATGTCCTCATTCTCAAAGAAGACATAATATTGATGACTGAAAGCAATACAAACCGCTATATATACTCCATAAATGGGAATTTGTCCTTTCAATATTATATGCGATGGGATTTTGAGATATAATATGTACGGCTTGATAATATCTTAACATTATGTATAATGTAACGTAAATATTATGAAAACTTGTATTTCTACCAAATGTAAATTCTATTATCTTTACAGGATGATTATCATAATATTTTACAAAAACATTTATTATAAACATATGTTATAATGACATATATATAGCTTTTATACATTTTTAAGAGTTTTGTACCCATCAGCTTTCAGTTATAAAAACATCTCAAATTTTGTATTGATGTATCAGATGATGAGACTTTTCAAACAAAACCGTTATGTTAATTTATATCGAGTTTTATAATGTTATATTTACTTTTAAATTGTATTATACTGAGTTAAATATTGATATAAATTATATACTCAGTTTAAAAACATTATATTGACTTTGTTATATGCAGCTTTATAATATGATAATGGGTTTATAATGTTATACTGAGTTTAAATATGTTATACCTAGTTTTATAATGTTAATTTATATCAATTTTTGAAAGAGTAAATCGAGTTATTGTAATACTGAAGTGCCAAAGAATATTGTTTTGAATAAAATACTTCATTCAGACAAAATTCATTCTGGCACTTTTCTTAAGTTGGTAGCTTATATGTGTGCGAATGCTTTTTCGTATACAAATATGACAAATTACAAAGATTAAATCAACATTCCAAGAGGAACGAATTTTATTTCCTGGCACCTTGCCATTCTAGTCTTTTGTAGTTTAACATTTGATTTACAATGATAATTTCCTATGTTAAATGAAATATGGATATAACTCAACCATTTGTCAAGTAAGATGTCTTCAAATTAAGACTGACAGAATGGATAAGAAGTAAGACAAGACAGAAGAAAATGAGTGATATTTGATTGAGAAATCAATAATCCAATTATAACTATCATACAAATATCATATCAGTGTACGATAGCCATTCATTGATCTATGTATATAGTATTTATAATGAATTACTTCACGGTTTCAGTCAACTGGGGTGTAATTTGTTAAAATAATAGATATTATTATAATAATTAGCTTTATGTTTTTTTCTTAATGATAATTATGGTGGGTATACATCAAATTAAAGCTTCTAATGATCCCAATATGTCATGCATAGTTGCTCATATATGATTTACAACAGAAAATACACTGATTAAAGTCCGTAACTAAATCTAAGTTTTACAATTCCTGCCTATTTTTTCGATTAACTTACAATAGACTACAAACTGACACGGACAAAACGTCTCGCATTTTGGACTGGGCCATTAACTGAGGCTTCATGTGCTACAGATCAAGCAAGACAGTGCTAAATGGAAAAAAAATGAAAGCTGTCTTAAAAATTCTTTCATCGTAAAATAAATGATAATGTTTGTGTTCATAATCAGTCGGATTAAAATCTTGTTTTATTTTTATTTCATTATATAATACATAATGTCATTGATTTACATTTCGGCCATTATTATCAGTTGATAGTTTCCGATAGTCAAATTGACGAATATTGAAAATGATTTGTGGCAAGAATTCAGCTAATTTGACCTTTAGAATCATTATGAATCTGAATAAGTGATGCTTATTTATGAAGAATGAAACCTCTGAAGAAACTATACGGGAAATACAGGTTTCTTTATAATAAAGTAACAAATTAGGTTTTGTGTCACGGGGAATCCATTTCCTACCACCACGGCATTCCACCCGTTTAATACGCATATCAGTTCAAATAGCAAATCAGTATCAAAATCCAACAACAAAAAATGTACCAAATGTTTTAGATGATTTAAATTCATGGTTGGAAAGAACTTCAAGTGGACCGGATATGATGATAAACGCTGGATGTGCGTTTAAAAACGGATATCATTTCACAGAAAAAATATCGTAAAATACTTCGGTGACTTTGGTAGCTATCATGGCCCTGTATACAATTTGCAATAATACAACGGTTATTCATATCAGGATCTCAGATAAAATCATGAATGTTTCTTAATCTCCACTTGAAATTGTTATTAAAAAGTTCTATTAGGAATAGCCCACCCACACCATCAGATAACAATATCTATTTTAAACCATGAATAGAACTGTCCATTTCCAAACACAATAATAGTGTTGGCTATCATTTTATTCTCTTTTCTAATCTTTTCGACACGATAGAAAACATCTATACACATTACTTTGTTTTGGCTTAAATTACATGGCAACAAGACATTAGTGGTGAATAGTGAGTGACAGAAAGATTAATATAAAACTTGAAAGAAAATTGATATCACTAAAGACAAATCGAATAAGCTAGAGGTCAGAGGAAAACATAAGAACATGTCGGGATTTTCACCGAATGTGAAATAAGAAACTGGTCTGATTCAATAAAACAATTTATCACAAAAACATCAATATTGATTAAGATTTATTACAGTATATATGGTAGTAATATTTGGTTACGTCCATCAGATTTGATATATTGTTTAATATTGAGAATATTATTAGATTCCTAACATCTTATTACAAAATGACATGAAATGAAATGAATGGAGTTTTACGTTCTACTCTTCTGCACCTATAATGCAGACGGACAACAGCATGTGTGCAATAAGAGAATTTAGCATTGTAGCATTGTCCCATCCGAACGACAAGGCGCTTTTTCTATCTGTATCACTGACAGGGGTACCTTGGTTTCAAAATCCGTAGGTATTATCTCGACCTATGCTTGTCACAGATATCTTTGTTATGAAACATCATAGCATTCTGATATACCACTGTGATATAGATATATTCAATATACATTTTTAACCACATATCGACTTTTATTGAATTATCCAGAAATTGTTCTAGATATTGTCTGCATGTAATAGTTCAAATCAGTGCTGAAGAATGTTTAAATTCTGTCAATCATGACAATTTAGTTAACTTTTGATGTCAATCAAATGATATTTAATATATTATTTGATATGTTTTTATGATAGAGATAGATCGAATTCAATACTATCAATTATTTCATCAAATAAACTTACATCTTCTATTACTATTTCCTTTATTCTGTGCAAGAGCCAAGGAATATTCACATAATATTAATATCACAAGTTCCGACAAGAATGCTGAAAAACAGGTTCTCCTAACTGGAAACAAATCTGGCAGGCCAAAACTCTCAGTGGACAGGGTTATGTTTGAATCTTCCTGTACATGCGAAATCAATGATGCAAAATTGATTTTTTGTCAGTTATAATCAGTTATAGGAGAATAGAGCTATACGGATATGAAAGCGTACATTAAGCTGTTATATTTAGCTAGGTATAAAAAAAAGGAGTGGGCAACAAGTTTTCCTTTTATTGGTCCAATCAGGTGCTAACAAATATAGGACGTAAAAAGTCCATTTCACTACGCGAATTTCAATTACACTATATAACAAGGTCAACAAGCTTGAAATATGCAATGGCCGTCGGAAGCAAATTGAACGATTGACTTACTTTGTTTAGTTAATAAGTGAAGGAAATAGAATCATTTCCTTAGAGAATAACAACATTTGTATTCAATCAACAGTCAACTAACGAGGTTATCAAGTATGGGGCTGTTTTACTGGTCGTTTGTTGCATAGCCTATCAGTATCATAAAATACATTGACAATATAAATAATACAGGAATGATGGCCAATTCCATAGACTCCTGTCACACACGTAACAGAATCATAAGAGTAGGGTATATCTGACAATACTATAGATTACAGGCCAGATGACCTACCTGACAGTACTATATAATACAGGCCAGATGACCTACCTGACAGTACTATATTATATAGGCCAGCTGACCTATCTGACAGTACTATATTATACAGGCCAGATGACCTACCTATCAGTACTTTATTATACAGGCCAAATGACCTTTCTGACAGTACTATTTTATACAGGCCAGATGACCTACCTGACAGTACTATATAATACAGGCCAGATGACCTACCTGACAGTACTATATTATACAGACCAAATGACCTACCTGACAGTACTATATTATACAGGCCAAATGACCTTTCTGACAGTACTATTTTATACAGGCCAAATGACCTACCTGACAGTACTATATTATACAGGCCAAATGACCTACCTGACAGTACTATATTATACAGGCCAAATGACCTACCTGACAGTACTATTTTATACAGGCCAAATGACCTACCTGACAGTACTATATTATACAGGTCAGATGGCCTACCTGACAGTACTATATTATACAGGCCAGATGACCTACCTGACAGTACTATATTTTACAGGCCAGATGACCTACCTATCAGTACTTTATTATACAGGCCAGATGACCTACCTGACAGTACTATATAGTACAGGCCAGATGACCTACCTGACAGTACTATATTATACAGGCCAGATGACCTAATTAACAGTACTATATTATACAGGCCAGATGACCTAATTAACAGTACTATATTATACAGGTCAGATGACCTACCTGACAGTAATATACTATACAGGCCAGATGACCTAATTAACAGTACTAAGTTATACAGGCCAGATGACCTACCTGACAGTACTATATTATACAGGCCAGATGACCTAATTAACAGTACTATATTATACAGGCCAGATGACCTACCTGACAGTAATATATAATACAGGCAAGATGACCTTTCTGACAGTACTCTATTATACAGGCCAGATGACCTACTTGTCAGTACTATATTATACAGGCCAAATGACCTACCTGACAGTACTATATTATTCAGGCCAGATGACCTACCTGACAGTACTATATTATACAGGTCAGATGACCTACCTGACAGTACTATATTATAGAGGCCAGATGACCTTTCTGACAGTACTATATTATATAGGCCAGATGACCTACATCACTGTACTATATTATACAGGCCAGGTGGAGGCACTATTCAATACATCTGACAATTAGCAAATATATATCTCTAACAATATCATATAATACAAGTCCATATAAAAGATGGATTGAGTACTTCTGTCCACAGGACCAGTTCAGGGGCTACAGAATTTTCAAGGGACAATTTCACAGGCAATTATTGGGGGTCCAAAGACGGGCCAACCTCAGTTCTGTTGAAAATATCAATTGCAGATACTTCATCATTGTAGTCATTGCCATCAATGGCTCAACAATCATAGGGACTGGTTGAACCAAATTATTTTTTTTCTCTACCAGCCAAGTCCACGGGCCCGCATTCATCTGCTTGAGCCAATGATCGCCAAGAATCGGCATCAGATTTTAAAAAAAATCACTAGACAATCTGGTCGAATTGAAGAGTCTCAGTCATAAGCAGCACTACATATGTAAAAAAATTCCAATATAAATCACGTAGTTCGTGATAAGTAAGAGTTTATCAATGAAACCTGTGAATAATAATGAAAACATAACGAGTCTCGGAGAAACTTTTGTCTGAATACAAAGCGTTTTCAACGACTATCAAGCATTATTAGACTTGTTAATTAATAACAATTGCCACTTTTTATTATCCTCATCTTCATAAATGACAACTATTGATGTGTAAAAGCCGGATGTCTACACTCCCCACGTCACATTTATACTTAACTTAGTTCCTGAAACAGATACACTGTAATCTAGTAACACGTGAAGTAATACGTTCATACTTTATGACCTTGTTTTCAAAATTCAGTGGATTTTTCATCTACCTATTTTTTTTACTTTCAAGAGGTCTGGGTAACCCCTTGACTTACATAAGCAAATTAAAGAAATACTTCCAAAAAATTGACGCTTACATAGATATTTGATTCCACCGCTAAAACTATAACATATATCTAAAATTATCCTTTCGGGTGTTTACGGGTGTTCTAGGTTTGTAGAACTTGTTATACGAGGCATGGTATGGTCTGAAACACCGGAGTAGAATCCAAATCCTGTCTACAACTTCAAATCACATAACCTAATTCTGATCAGTTTCAGAAATAGAGAAAGCTGATTAAATGCAGCTGAAAGTATTTAATTTTTTCAGTAATGCGTCATCCATTGGAATGTGAAATTCTTTGTGTAAATTTGTTCATTGATATTCCACTGTGAAAGTTTATTAGCAACTGGTAATTATTACTTCATTTAGACCTAGACCTTCATTTGCCTACATCTACATTTCGAGATGACATACATTTACATCTAAAATTTAACCCTACTATACGTTTATTAACATTATTAACAACCACTACAAATTTAATTGGGAAATAGACTAAAACTGTTCGATGTTATTAGGGCTAATTTAACTTCCCTGTTAACACTATATAATAAAATTAATAAATTGTGTTACTATGATTTAATAATAGCCATGGTACTGTCAGTAACAGTAGGATGTATATAATTCCCAAGAAATAGATTCTTCCTGTCATTGACTTGAACATATTAGAAACTGTCTTTACATTAACCTTTACAATTAACATTTCTTTCAGAGACAATTTATGTTGTGTTTGCCCAAATTTATCCACTTTAAGGAGTTTGTAGACATCCGTTGTCTTATTGTAGGGTTAAATGTGGTTCAGACTACCAAATTGTGACAGTAGTTTTTGCTCGCTTACTTTTAGCCGCTGGATTCTGGTAATGCTTTTATCAAGTTTGTTTCGAGATAAGGATGAAACAGAAATTTGTTCCTCAATCCTATCGTAATGTTTTGTTATCAATACCAGTTTTTCTTAATAATACATAAATATTTTGTCAGCCAAACGCAAATGTATTAACTTAAATTCTTTTGCAAGTTTACTCGACACGATTGAGGAATTTTTGTTTTGAATGCCATCCCAACAGGAATGGTAATAAATGATAAAAAATAGATATCTTTGAGAGGTCTTTGATGACTTGAACGCGCGTTAAAACAGTCGGGGTAATAATTCTAGAGATATAGCTTATCAATAACATTACATTTGTCTAATAATATTACATAACCATGCAAAACTCAACTACAAACGTTTATAAAACCAATGAAACGAGATAAAATGGCAACCATCCAATTCCTATGTAAATACTGTTCTGTAGACACTGCTTCCAGCTACCGTTTGTTTCACGAAATAATGATACACCATACAGAACAATAACTCTCACAGTGACTTCGAATAAGAGTTACTGCCCTTGGCAATACAGTGTATCCGTATGAAAAGATTATTTCTTGTTTGTGTTAAAATATAGAATAATTTACTAATGACTTTGATATTGGAAGATGGCCGATAGCAAGGCCAGTTGTCTGTGATAATAGAGTCTACAACAGATTTTAAATAAATATTATCAGGACAAACGATCTTTCAAGACAAAGCAAACAAAAGAATGGATTGTCCTCTGACTTAATCGATATCAATTTGAATCGGGTCTTTAAAAACGAGACTCGTGTTCTTGACTAGTTTTCAGATCTACCCATCATATAATATGTATTAAGGTCTATAGAGCCTTATATGTTTAATTGTCACTATCAGACAAATGCTGCTTGCAACCTCCACACACACACACATACACAAAAGACATATTGAATGCATCGACATTCAAACATTTTCTACCATTCCAATCTACCAATCAAATTTAATGACGAGAATATATCGTGCTGTGAAAGCAAATGATAGATGTTATAAACGCCGTTCACCAATGCCGAGGAACATAGGTAGACCTACATGATCTAAATACATGATGCATTCTAGTCAGAGGCGACAAAATTGGTCTCTAAAGGGAAGTAACTCCTAAACATTTCGATTAGAATATACATGGGTCTATGTGATATCGAAACGAAGACTCGTATTGTTTTTCCTATACAATTCGATTTTTAACGATTTTGAAAGTTTTTATTGGCGAATTTAACTTACTGTAGCTTGATAACAGATTCTGAAGCCATTTCTCAAGGTCTACTGAACACATGATTCTGGTGGTACGATGAACGTATTGATACCATCCATGGAGTTTGAACGTACATATATTTGAGAACCGAAACGATAATGGTCAGTTCAGAACAACTTTTACCGTGATGCGGTTTGCTAGAACAGCCTCTCCACTTGAGCGAAATTGCAGTTATTGTTATTGGATATGTAATAGTTTCACAGTCTCGTGTTGGTGTCCATCATACTACACCGTTTCTACATGTTTAGCTGAACATCATTCTTTATTGTGCACACTTGAATCATTTTAAAATGAACTGTGGCTCTATGGGTCAAGGGTATCAAGAAAGTTAGGCTAAATTGCCACCTTGAGGATAACACATCAAATAAATTGATAATTAATTATGATAAATGTTGTTGAATCTCTTTAAACCTAAAATTAATCGTGGGGGCATAAGTTACATTTTACATCGTAATGCAAGTTGGCATTTTTCCAACATTTGAAAAAGAATATTTGACTAAAACCTGCACATAGAATTTGATTTGATTCTCGAATCGCAGAGAATTTAGTTCTGGCTTATCAATGACAAAATTGGGTGCCAACAGATACCGTTTTGATCTAGCAAACGGCGTTTTCAATATTGCAAGCTGCATGACGAACCCAGTGAATGAAGAGATGTCATCTTGGAGTAACGACCATGTTCCTTTTCAAGATCGTGGGAACAGTAAGTTGCATTGGGTCTATATTTCTGGCTTAAAGACAAAGGGATTTTTTTGGATACGCCTCCATGTTTTAGAAATTGCAACTTCGGGGTTGAGTAAAATCCTTGATCTGAAAGGAAAACGTTTTTCATCCGTAGACAGCAGAATACATATGCAGCTTTAGCTTTTAATTTTTAATCTATACAAACTTATCAGATTCTACATTGGCAAAAGAATTTTAGTTATAAGAATAAACCATTGGATAAATCGCCAAACTCTCTCGGTCAAAGTGAAAAAAATGTATTTAACTATACAGGTGATTCGACTATATCCGCCTATAGCCGTTTCACTTCTTCTTTATTCACACCATATGTTGAAAATTGAAGACAGATTGTTAGTATTAGATAACTCTTGACCCGATTCGATGCGAAGACAATTATTCCATTCTGCAACTGTCTATTTTAGTTAACATTTTTCTTTCCGCAAAATAAATTCTAAAAAAGTAACATATCATAGACTTAAAAGATCAAAGAATATTTTTTTAAAGAAGCAGATAATATGCAAAATCTTCTATATACAAGAAAAAAAGCTAAAAACATTAAAGATTTTAAAAACGATATTATTAAAAATTATGTAGAATGAAAGGTGGGTTTTTTCAATACATTTATTTAAGTGTAAAATACCTTACCTTTTTAACGCGCCGTTTTATATTTTTTTCAGTTCTTTCTTCAGAACCCAATTTAGGTGAATCACAAAGATCATTCTGAATTCTAGACATCCTGAAGTTTATCCGATAAATTGACGATTTAACAATCTAAGCTAATAAGGCACCACTCAGGTATAAGATATAATCCATTC